TTGAGGCAAATCGGTTCAGGGGTTCCCAAGTCATGATCGGACAAACAAACAAACAGACACCCAAACAGTGATTACAATTTTATATTCATAAAATCTAAAGCTGGCCAAACGGCTGGACCAAATTGGCTAAAATTTATTGAGGAAATTACGGATAGGCATAATCCTAAATAAAAAAATTCTTCAATTCGATTTTTTTTCAAATTTATGGTCTAATTGTTTTAAATAAGTTTCCTTTGATACTTGTGATATTTTAAAATATTCAAAGATCAAAATATAAAAAGGTTTACACCATCATTTTGCAAAGATATAGGGAGTAGAAAATTAGAATTTGAGCCGAGTAATCAGTTCCTTTAGAGGGGCAATTATTAAGTTTTAGGAACTTGAATCAAAGATTCTTAGAAAAAGTAAATTAAAGAACAGTAGTTTTCTACTAACTAGGGAAAATCTTTTTTATTAAGATTTTAAAAAGTTTCTATTGAACTTTTTGGATAGTTTTATAGTTTTTTATGGATTCCATGTTAGGCTATGACATCCGTCTTTTGTAGACTTTTCCGCCCAAAGAAAGTACACTGCAGTACAAAAAATGCGTACACCTCTGAAATAACTTTCCTTGCATTCGTACCTTGAGGTATTCTAAGTTTTTAAAACAAATCTGGCTGCGTCATTAAAGTTAAAACCGAACTAGCATCGGATAGGGTCGGGCGGGAGTTTCAGTATGGCTGGTCACAAGGGGTCGGGCCAGTTCGAATTCAAATTGACTCTATTCCACCATTAAGGTTATCCAGACTCTACTGGAGGAAGTGATTCTGGTTTTGATCTAGGAAAGTGTACAGTATTAATTTTAAACTTGTGGAATCTAATGTGTCCTTAAAGGGACTGTACGGATAATCTCAAACTACCCTCCATTCAAGGATGGCAATTTCCAATTCACAATGGTACCCTTGAATCCTTTATCTGATCAACAATGTGGAAAGTATAGTCCTTGTTCTAGGTTATAAAAGTGTTTGATTCTAATAATTATATGTCTTCCTACTCTAGAAATTCCTAAGTAACTTTTCAAGAGATTCTACCATTGAAAATAATAATTTGTTAATAACTTTATACGTTGATATCTAAATCATACTGAACTGAAAACTTTAGAATGAGATATCCTTAATCCTAATACTTAATCTGAGTATCCAATGGACACATTTTTTATGTTCTTCTTAACCCGTTCTTTTTTTAATATTGTAGCTTGAAGAATCAAAACCGATTTTTAAATTTAGAGAGTTCCTCCCGTTTCTGTCTATAATCCTATATGCATAGAGAATAGAATATATAGAGAGGAATAAAAAGAATCTCTCGGTATGAATTTTTTCAGTCCCTTTCAGCCTGAAAGGGAGTTCAAAGTGTACAAATCATGTAAATGTTCACAAATTATATGCAGTAGAGTACATTAATACAGTATGTTCCCTAGACTATCCATTTCAATTTCGAATTTTTTAAACTGTTAAATAAACTTTATAATGAATTAGGTGAATAAAAACAGCATTTGATTTATAGTTATAACGGAAAATGTGAAATGATCAGTGGTCAATTATGAAACCAGCCTATTTCATAATTTGGTTTTCTTTTAACAATTATTTTAGATTTTCTATAAAATGATATTCCAGGGCCCAACAGGTTATATAGCATAAATATGTGAAGTTCACCTGCAGTATGGAAACAGTACAACAAAATGGCCGTTTCACACTTTTTTCTAGTAAATTCCTCTCTATATATTCTATTCTCTATGCCTATATGGCGTTCAACATTTCAAATTTATCGGCTTCATATATGAGACTCTGATTGGTTGAATTTTATACACTTTTAGGATATAAGTACAAGATTAGGTTAATCTTAATATTAAGAAAAAGAGAGGATCAAGCATTAATCTCAATATCCACCATTCTAAAGTTTTCAGCTCTGGTACAGACAAAGCTTTAAAGGGCCATGAGTACCGTTAAGAAATGGGCATTGCAATTACGCGTATACAGTCCATTTTACTCAGTTCTTTTAAACTGTGGAATTTTCAATAAAGAATTCTGTGTAATAAATACGGTTAAAGTCTATTCAAGAATTAATGGATTTAAACTTCTTTTTTAAAGGGAATACAGGCGTATTTTCAAGCGACTAGAGAGTTCTCTGAAAAGCTTTGTCTGATCAAGGATGCAAGATATTATTAATCTTCTTTTTGCTGAGAGTTGATTATTTTCAAATGTTGTTTTTCGCTATAATGTGAATTGGACAATGCACATTTTTGCTATAATGTGAATTGGACAATGCACATTTTTGCTATAATGTGACTTGGACAGTGCACATTTTTGCTATAATGTGACTTGGACACTGCACATTTTTGCTATAATGTGACTTGGACAGTGGACATTTTTGCTATAATGTGACTTGGACAATGCACATTTTTGCTATAATGTGACTCGGACAATGCACATTTTTGCTATAATGTGACTTGGACAATGCACATTTTCACTTCAGAGACAATATGCAGGCAATCTTCATCATCATTGAATAAACCAATGTTTAACTCTATTGCTATAGTACAGAAATTCTCACCAATTATTCTAATCTTAAAGGGACTGGTGGTAAGCATAATTTCAGGTGACCTTCCGTTTCTAGAGAGGCATGTTAGATTCACAACAATATCCTTAAACCTTTGATTGATCAAGGATTTTGTAGAGTGTACACGGAGTGTACACTATTAGCACGGAGTGTACACTATCACGGAGTGTACACTAGCACGGAGTGTACACTAGCACGGAGTGTACACTTTTAGCACAGAGTGTACACTAGCATGGAGTGTACACAAGCACGGAGTGTACACTAGCACGGAGTGTACACTAGCACGGAGTGTACACTAGCACGGAGTGTACACTAGCACGGAGTGACACTAGCATGGAGTGTACACTAGCACGGAGTGTACACTAGCACGAAGTGTACACTAGCACGGAGTGTACACTAGCACGGAGTGTACACTAGCACGGAGTGTACACTAGCACGTAGTGTACACTAGCACGGAGTGTACACTAGCACGAAGTGTACACTAGCACGGAGTGTACAGTCTACACTGGAAAATTTGAGTCTCCTGGCAAGAGGGAGGGAAGGCATCCTCCCCCGCACAGCTTCAAAACCTTTTTTATTTACGGCAGTGCGCGTCCACATGGGGCTTATGAACCTCCCCAAACAGTCTTCTGGGAATGATCTTCCATTTAAAATCGTCAATTTCTACTTAAAATGGGACTAATTCGATTATTTAAGCATGGTAGTCCATCTGTAGTATTCTTATCATTTTCATAAAATTTTTATTTATTTTTTACCCGCAAATAGGTAAAATGAGTTTTGGAAGCTGTGTGGGGGAGGATGCCTTCCCTCCCTCCTGGCACTCAAATACAAATGAGGGTATCTACCTCATTGTTGTTCAGACAACGGTTTACAGGTACTGTTGTGAATAAGATATACCCCCTATAAATAGCATGTCACTTGAAATTACACTTAAAGTCCCATTAATGCTGCTTTCCCTAATTATGAAAAATAATGAAACTTGTTAATTTAGTTAGAAAATGCCAAATCATTGTCTCTCCAGTTTAAGAAGTTTGTAATTAGTTTTGCTAAGTAGACACATCAACTTAGAACTCTAGGTTTAAACTTTTAAACTTAAAAATAAAATAAAGATTACTTGCATCAAACTATAATTTATAAATCTTTATATCTTTGCAACCAGACCTTTGATATTTCAAAGCATGAAATCTGCTAGACATTTGTAATGGTTTGAAAAGGTTTGAAATGTCAAAGGTTAACAACATCAGGTTGCAAAGATTAATCTCCATCCTATGCAGAGCTAAGGATTTGATATAATCCTTGATGATTTCTTCGTTGTTTTTATACACTGCAAGAATAACTGTAATTAATGCGTTGATCCTCAAAAGTGGCCACATTGGATCTCGAGATCAAGAGTTCAAGATCACCGATAATCCACTGAAAACTGCGGACCTCTTTATAATTCAGAGGTGCAGATAATCAGAGAATAAGATTTAAAGTATAGATTTAAATCAAGATCTTATATCAGAAACGTTTTGAACCAAATAAGCTACAAACAAATAGCTTTAAATGGAAAAGTGGAAATTACAAAAATTTGTAAAACATCTTTCAAATAAAAACATTGACAAAATAGGTCAATATTTAAATATGTAGATATAAATGATAACATGAAAGTGACTATAGTACTGTACTGTACTGTACTGTACTGTACTGTACTGTACTGTGCTGTACTGTACTGTATTGTACTGTACTGTACTGTACTGTACCGAACTATACTGTACTGTACTGTATTGTACTGTACAGTACTGTACTGTACAGTACTGTACTGTACTGTACTGTACTGTACTGTACTGTACTGTACTGTACTGTACTGTACTGTACTGTACTGTACTGTACTGTACCGAACTATACTGTACTGTACTGTATTGTACTGTACAGTACTGTACTGTACTGTACTGTACTGTACTGTACTGTACTGTACTGTACTGTACTGTACTGTACTGTACTGTACTGTACTGTACTGTACTGTACTGTACTGTAAAGAGACTATAGTTTTAATTTTATTTGATCATTTATTTACAGAGTATGTAAATGAATGTGATTTTCATGGTTTTTCTATAAAATTTAAATTTGGGGATGGTTCAACATTACTAAAAAAGGAAATTGACAGGATTCAACAATATCAACATGATTTAGGAAAAAAGAATGATGAGATTATAAAACTCTTCCCTCATTTACATTTATATATTAGGATGTGAACATATATATTTATGTTAACTATTGCTGGCCAAACGGCTGAACCGAATTGGCTAAAAAAATTGGAATTATTGTTTCTAAAGTTACAGACGATTCCGGGCAATTCCGCTAGTCTTAGATAAAATAATTAGGTTGCTGTTGATCTGAGTATTGTAATTCTTTGGGATGTCACTTTAAACTACGTTTACAGACACTTCAACTTGTTTCAACTTATTAATACTGGTGCACCACCAGGTTCCCAGGAGTCATCTATGTATCTGCAGCAGAGCTCACACACCAGTTCTATCATGTCAGATATCAATGAAATACATGTCATTCCAGGTAGCTATCACACAAATTTGGTTCTTTTGCATAAACTTTGGTAACTTTACATAAAATTTGGTTACTTTACATAAGATTTGATAACTTACATAAAATTTGATTCTTTTATATAAAATGCGGTAATTTAACATGAAATTTGATTATTTTACTGAAAATCTGGTAACTTTACATAAAATTTGGTTGTTTCAACTAAAATTTGGTTTATTACGATTATGTTATGCAAAGTTTGGTTATTTTATGTAACAGTAGTAATTAACAAAATATGGTGAGTTTTATCCATTTTAAAACGTTAGTTTTCTTGTTTTGTTCTGGAAAAATGTCATTCGATCCCTATCTTGATATAGCAAAAGCAAAACCAACTAATTACTAAATTGGGTCTGTGTACATTACACAATTGCTTTAAATTAAAACTTTAGTGCAAGAATCATAATCCTATTCTTCAGCTCTATGAGTCTCTCTATATAACATACCAAACGAAGAAAGATAGATAGATAAAGTTTTTTGCTAAAATACATTTATCTTGTACAAGACGAATTTACAATTACAAATTGATAATTATTTTAACGACAAAAGCCTCTAAAATTGCACAGGAAAACAGACGACCATCTAATAAAAGTTTTTGGTCTTAACTTTCAAAAAGTCTTTTCTTTTTACACTGTTTCCCTCAAAGGATGAGACGACTGCACAGAATTTATACTGTCTGTTTCCTTATATTAATGCTTCCCTGATAATATAAGCTTGTTCCTTTTTTCGGCCTATGATTAAATAAGCCAGATACAGGTTATATTGAGGCAGTAGAAATTCAAATGTTTATAAAAATGAGAATAAAATCTGAGAATTTAATAATGTTCTTAAAATAAAATACTATGCATAAATTTTATTTATCTTTTTCCCAATATTTAGAAATGAGGACAATGTCTCTACCCTCGACTTCAAGAATGAAACATAAGAAAATGAAGGTAAATGCATTTCAAATAGAGTATTTTTGTATTATACCCTTAAAGGTAATAAAAGCATTCATTCAAGTGAACCTCCATGCAAATATGGCATGAATGATTTACAATGGTAACCCTGAAAAACGTTATCTCATTTTGAAAACTAATTACCTTCATATGAGGTTTCTACAGCAGTAAAATGTATAGAAATTATCTGAGTCAAACATTTTTATATTTATTTTTAGGAAAATGATGATATCTTTCACATCATTGATCTGAGCCCGCGTTTTAAAAACTTCGGCTTGATCCGTAATTCTTTAAACCCGACTTTAAGACCCAATCTTCGACCCAACTCTACGACAGCTTGTGTCACGTGACTGACAGCTCAAAGATTCTCGGTTCGACATAAGGAGTTAGGCCCAATGAAAATAAAACCGACCTTGGTTGGTTATAATGGAGAATAAGGCTCAATGTTGAGTATTGTTCTCATACAACCTGGAATGTGTCGATTTCTACCAAGAAAATCCGCCAAATAGAATATTAAACCGTTTTTTGAACTCTGCTGTGGAAAATAAGATGCAGCTTGAATCCGTAAGAACCAGCCGTAAATAAGGCCCAATGACAGCTTAGACCCGAGCCATATTTCCCTACTTTTTAAAATCGCGGGCTCTGGTGAAGGTTTTTAAGGATGTTGTTTGAATCGGGAATTGCTAAGAGTTTTTTAGTCTAAACATATGAAAAGTAGATAATTCTTCATCGACATAGATAGATAGATATTTGACTAAATATTTAACTAAAAACAATTTGAATCGCACAATTTTTACATTTTATTTAGTCAGGGTCTCTTTAACCATTGTTGGTTGTTTTGAATGAAAACAAAAACAATTTAGAACTAAAGGAAAAGGAGGAAAAGGAAAAGTAGTAAATAGAGGAAAGGTATTGAAGAATAGAGAGGAAAAGAAGAAGAAGTGCATTATACCATAACAAATGATTTTTACTATTTCTATTAGAGGAAAACATATAATTTTGTGGTTGGATTTACAGCTTGTACAGTTGTAATTGTATATATCAATACAATGAAGACGACTTTTGATTTCAATTTTTATTTATACCAATTTTTCAAGCAGCAGGGATGCACATAAACATAGAAACAAACAGCTTCTCATTGTTTGCAATTGTAAACTTGTAATTTAAAAAACCTTGGTTAGAGAGCAAAATTTATATAGGAAAGTTGTCTTTATTGTATTGATTTAAATACATATGACTGTATTAAACTGTAGAGGGGCTAAATATCAATAAGAGGACTGAGTAAAAGTTCGATTACAACTTTTCGAATTTCTTCTGATGCAGAAAATGTATATTGTTGTCAACATCAAAAGAAAAAAACGTAGTAGAGGCAATTTCGTTTTGTAATGAAACGTTCAGTAAGGAAATGTTTAGTAACACACATTTTGTCAGGAAATGTTTGTAAGGAAACATTTTGTGTAGGAAACATTTTGTGTAGGAAACATTTTGTGAGGAAACGTTTTCTGAGGAGTATTCAGTAAGGAAATGTTCTGTAAAGAAAGGTTTAGGAAAGGTTTTCAGTAAAGAAACATTCTGTAAGGAAACTTTTTTACGGGAACATTTTGTGACAGGAAATGTTTTGTGAGGAAACGTTCAGTAATTGATTGTTTTGTAAGGAAACCTTTTGTGATAGGCAACCTTTTGTAAGGAATGTTTTGTAAGAAAACGTTCAGTAAGGAAATGTTCAATAAGGAAATGTTCAGTTAGGAAACGTTCAGTAAGGAAACGTTTTGTAAGGAACCTTTTTGGGGCACGAAACTTTTTTTAACAAACCGTTTTGTGGCAGGAAGTGTTTTGTGTAGAAAACGTTTTAGGAGGAACGTTATGGAAATGTTAAGTAAGGAAATGTTTTGTAAGGAAACGTTTTGTGACAGGAAGCCTTTTGTAAGGAAACTGGGACAGGAAACGTTTTGGGACAAGAAACATTTTGTGTAGGAAACGTTTTATAAGGAAATGTTCAGTAAGAAATGTTCAGTAAGGAAATATTCAGTAAGGAAACGTTCAGTAAGGAAACGTTCAGTAAGGAAACGTTCAACAAGGAAATGTTTAGCAAGGAAAAGTTCAGAAAGGAAACATTCAGTAAAAAAACGTTCAGTAAGGAAACCTTCAGTAAGGAAACATTCAGTAAGGAATATTCAGTAAAGAAACGTTCAGTAAGGAAATGTTCAGTGGGGAAACGTTCAGTAAGGAAACGTTTTGTGGCAGGAAACGTTTTGTGACAATAAACGTTTTGTGGCATGAAACGTTTTGTGACAATACATTTTTTGTGTAGGCAACGTTTTGTAAGGAAACATTCAGTAAGGAAACGTTTTGTAAAGAAACGTTTTGTAAGGAAACGCTCTGGGTTAAACTGTGATATACTGTGAAAAATAAATGAACCTCTAAACAAACAAAGTAAAAAGTGAATATTTACAAATTATCCTTTCAAAAATCATAATTTGAGTTTGTTACCCTTTTTCATTTGACAACCAATTTTCATGTTGTTGTTTTTTTGTTTATTTTCTTGGGGTTTTTTAAAAACTATTTTGAATATTGATTTTGATAGTTATATACCGTTAGAACTGACGAGGGTCAACCAAGACTGGAATATATTTTCAAAAAATGTTGAACTAACACCTACTTTTTCACTCTGTAAGGTTTGTAGCATCATCAACACCTAATGTTAAACCAAACCATTACTATTTTAGGATATTGAAACAGTCTCTTTCTCTTCGGGAGACTCTCAGCCTGAATCCGATACTTTGGTAGAAGAACTTATAGCTGTGCCAGGTAAAAGATGTTTTAGTTTGTTTTTTGTTTAAATATTTTAAGAAAACTTTCTACGTTCTACAGTGTAAGAAAAGCAAATTTTGAAAAAGAAGCTTTTGCAGCAAGCTCTGATTTTTCAACCCCTTCTATATCTTTGCAGCACGTTGTTGTAGACCTTTGATATTTAAAACTATGAATTCTGCTAGATTACATTGTATAAGTTTGAAATATTAATGGTTGCAAAGAAAAAGGGATTATAGTAAATTTGAGTGTGTGGCAAACCTCAGTTCCTTTGTTAAACTGTTCAGTTTTTGTGTGGAAACTTTTAAAAGTAATATAAACCCTGAAAAAAAAAAAACCAAATTATTGCACATCACCTGAGCCCAAGATTTAAAAAAATCGGGAAAATACAGCTCAGGTCTAAGCTGTCGTTGGGCCTTATCTACGACTTGAGCTTTCGGATTCAAGCTGCATCTTATTTTCCACAGAGTTGAGTTCAAAAAACCGGTTTAATATTCTATTTGGTGGATTTTCATGGTAGGAATTGGCGCATTCTGGGTTTTGATGAGAACAATACTCAACATTGCATGAGCCTTATTCTGTACTAAAACCAACCAAGGTCGGTTTTATTTTCATTTGGCCTAACTCCTTAAGTCGAGCCGAAGATCTTGCAGCTGTCAATCACGTGACACATCACACAAGCTGTCGTCAGAGTTGAATTCAATCAGAGAAAAGGGACTTCAGTCGTTGAAATTGTTAGTGACCCTCAATATAAAGAGTGGCATGTAAAGTTTATAATGTTGCCCTTTAAATATTTATCTGAGTTACCATCGTTAAGTATTTATTTCTTACAATTTATTTTGTTATTTCTGTGGCAAAAAATCCGCAAATTACTTATACATTGAGAAAACTAATTTTTAAACTAATGTTTAAGCTAATTTGAAGCTAATTTTTGAGCTAATTTGTAATATATTAATAATATTAATATTTTATCTTGAAAGAGTTCTGTCCATGAAAGTACTTTAAATTTCAGTAACCGGAGAACATTAAGATAAGATGAAATTAACAAGAACTAATTTTATTGTACTTTTAGTTTTTAGACAGTCGCACAGAAACTCTATTCGGAGCAAAGAACTTGAGTTCGTGCCACAAACTCAAATATTTAAATCTAATAGGTTATCAATAGAATTGTATAGTTTGAAAAAGTCTACGACGTTAGGATAGCAAAGATCTTGGGATTTAAAAATTTAAAGTTTGTGGCAAAGACCTAATTCCCTTTGTTTTCCTTAAAATATGCAAAAAATTAAAATAACAATTTAAAAAAAAAAAAAAATTTCAGAACATCTGATCAAGCCCAGGCCCAATCTGCTGAATAAAGTGGTTAATAAAGACTACCACTTTAAAGTTTTAGTTATAGGTAAATATATTTTTCAATAATATAATTAATAAATAAATAATACTTTTATTGTTTTTATTTTAACCCTAAAAAGTGTTTTAAATGCGTTAATCTAAAAGCACTTTGTCTATTAATGAAAATGATAAAAACATTTCGTAATTTTTAATTGTAAATTTTTTTACTTAGTGTAAAAAGTCGTGGGACATTTTTGTTTGCCATTTTTTTACACAAAAGAAAAAAAACAAAGGAAAATTAACATGTGTAAATAAAAGTTTATAATTATGTTAACTAAACTGAATTTTTCTCTCTCACAGTAATACAACTGATTACTCGCCTCAATCTCTAATTTTCTACTTCAAACTTTGCGCATTTTTTATTTGTTTCTAAATTATCAAAAACTTCCGCTTCGTTGTGATTATATCTGTAACCATAGAGAATAGAATAATATATAGAGAGGAATTTAAAGAATCTCTCGGTATGAATTTTTTCAGTCCCTTTCAGCCTGAAAGGGAGTTCAAAGTGTACAAATCATGTAAATGTTCACAAATTATATGCAGTAGAGTACATTAATACAGTATGTTCTCTAGACTATTCATTTCAATTTCGAATTTTTTAAACTGTTAAATAAACTTTACAATGAATTAGGTGAATAAAAACATCATTTAATTTATAGTTATTACGGAAAATCATCGTTTGTTTGTAAAGTGGAAGCCATAGAGTCTATGTGAAATGATCATTGGTCAATTCATGAAACCAGCCTATTTCATAATTTGGTTTTCTCTTAATATTAATTTGAGATTTTCTATAAAATGATGTTCCAGGGCCCAACAGGTTATACAGCATAAATATGTGAAGTACACCTGCAGTATGGAAACAGTACAACAAAATGGCCGTTTTACACTTTTTTCCATTAAATTCCTCTCTATATATTCTATTCTCTATGACTGTAAATCAAGTTTTGAAAGTTTAAAATATCTAACGTTTCAATCTAATTCAACAAACAGACACTTGCATTTAACAGAAACAGAAACTCGAGTTTAACTTTTCTTTTGCCTCCTCCAGAAGTGCAGTTTTTGTCAAGATTTAAAGCGGAGTAACACTCTGCAATAGTCGTGTTAACTCTGAGTTTTGAACCACTTTTGAAGTCTTGGAGAATTTTGGTGGCAAAAACGCTACTTTAACTCGACTTTTTGAATCCCTGTTTGTATAACTTGGTTCAAAAGTCGGTGTTAACACCTAGTTATTACACGACTATTGTAGAGTTCATCTGCTTCTTCAACGAGTATTTGCTCCATCCAGTTCTGTTTAATGGGTATGGTTGCAAAGATATAAGGACTAGAAAACTAGAGTTTGAGGAGGGTAATAATTTTTATTTTCAGGGGATCCTGGAGTTGGAAAAACATCGTTTGTTCATCGGTATACAGCAAACGCTTTTAGGTAATCTTTTAATTTAAAAAAAATCTAAATAAACATTAAACGAAATTCTAAAGTTTAGGGTTAAGCACTTTTGTTTAAAGCCTTGAAAGGGAGTGTTCGCGAAAAGTGATGGCTACCAAATTTACAATTGCTAGCCATCATAAATCAAAATTTTATTCTGCTAAAGAAGAAATCTTCCTAAGTGAATAGACCGCGGAATTAATTAAGGAACTGTAGACATAATTTCAAGTAATAAGCAATGCAATGCATAGAGGATGGAGCATGCATGATTCACAGTTATAACCTTAGAAGTGTTGTCAAACAATAATATTGATATATCCATGTTTTTCTCTTTGAAAACTATTGTGAGTTCACATTGAGATTGTTGCTACAAAAACTTGAATTAGGCAAATTTTAACATGGAAAACTATTGACTTGAACTTATACTGTTGTGAATGGTGTATGCCCTCTTTAAATGACGTCTACAGTTCCATTAAAATGTACTTTTTAGATCAGTCCCTTTAAAATATACTTTTTAGATCAGTCCCTTTAAAATGTACTTTTTAGATCAGTCCCTTTAAAATATACTTTTTAGATCAGTCCCTTTAAAATGTACTTTTTAGATCAGTCCCTTTATAATGTACTTTTTAAAACAGTCCCTTTATAATGTACTTTTTAGATAAGTCCCTTTAAAATGTACTTTTTAGATCAGTCCCTTTATAATGTACTTTTTAGATCAGTCCCTTTAAAATATACTTACAGTCCCTTTATAATGTACTTTTTAGATAAGTCCCTTTAAAATGTACTTTTTAGATCAGTCCCTTTATAATGTACTTTTTAGATCAGTCCCTTTAAAATATACTTTTTAGATCAGTCCCTTTAAAATGTACTTTTTAGATCAGTCCTTTTAAAATGTACTTTTTAGATCAGTCCCTTTATAATGTACTTTTTAAAACAGTCCCTTTCTAATGTACTTTTTAGATAAGTCCCTTTAAAATGTACTTTTTAGATCAGTCCCTTTATAATGTACTCTTTAGATCAGTCCCTTTAAAATATACTTTTTAGATCAGTCCCTTTATAATGTACTTTTTAAAACAGTCCCTTTATAATGTACTTTTTAGATAAGTCCCTTTAAAATGTACTTTTTAGATCAGTCCCTTTATAATGTACTTTTTAGATCATTCCCTTTAAAATGTACTTTTTAGATCAGTCCCTTTATAATGTACTTTTTAGATCTGACTACAGAGGAACTGTCGGGGTAGATTTTGCCCTCAAGGTTCTTGAACTTCCAGGAAACACAAGAGTCAGGTGGCATTATTCAGTTCTACAAACTTTAAAGAGAATATTAACGAATTTTATTTTTAAAAGTTTGAAGGGACTATAAGCGTAGTTTCAAGTGTTTAAAGGGACTATAAGCGTAGTTTCAAGTGTTTAAAGGGACTGTAAGCGTAATTTCAAGTGATTAAAGGGACTGTAAGTGTAGTTTCAAGTGTTTGAAGGGACTATAAGCGTAGTTTCAAGTGTTTAAAGGGACTATAAGCGTAGTTTCAAGTGATTAAAGGGACTGTAAGCGTAGTTTCAAGTGATTAAAGGGACTATAAGCGTAGTTTCAAGTGTTTAAAGGGACTATAAGCGTAGTTTCAAGTGATTAAAGGGACTGTAAGCGTAGTTTCAAGTGATTAAAGGGTCACTTGAAACTTAATTATTTCTTGTGGATTTTCAGAAATTTCGCTTTCATTCCCTTTAAGAATATATTCCATCAATGTTCGTTTAAGATTATATTTTTGGTTAACGATGGTGTAGGTAAGCTGCAGCTGTATTACATGAAAATTGTTCTCCAAAACATTAATGAAGATGTAAATCTTAATATTTCAAATATTAAATATAAAAAAAACTTTGAAAGCTAAAAGGTTCACACTTGTATACAGATTTCATTAGCGCCTGATCCAATCAGGGTTCAGTCATGTGTTTGTTGTCAATGCTGAACCAATAGAAATTGTATATGTATTTTTTTATCTTTCTCATCATCCAATTAGAGATATGAATCCTTTAAGGCGCTAACAGTAAATGGAGATATTTACTCCTACTGAAACTATAGTGGGTCTACCGTCTACATCATCTGGTTGCAAAGATTTTGGGATTAGAAAATTATAATTTTGCGTTTAGTTTATTTATAACAAATATTCTCTAATCTAATAATTGTATTTATTAAATTTATGAAAATGAAAAATATGAAATATATAAACAATATTATTAAAAATAATATCAATAATAATATAACTTTGAGGCAAATCGGTACGGAGGTTCTTAACATACTAACAAACAAACAGAGATTTTTCTACGTTGTATATAGATAATTTCAATAACTATAATGATATTACTATAAATAATGATATTAATAATAATATTAATATTAATTAAAATAATAAAAATAATAATATTTTCAATTATATTTAGGCTCCAGCTATGGGATATTGCCGGTCAAGAAAGGTATGGTTTTCATATATCTCTTATTTGGAATTTTTGTCTGAAATATAGCAATATTAGTTATTTTATTCTGGAAATCTATCTTGGAAAATTGTATATTCTGTATGGCGCGTCTCTGTTTATATAATAATTAAACAATTTTACAAAGACAAGTAAAGTCCTTTCTGAAGGAATTATTCATACATTTGTTTCAACTTTACAGTAATTCAAGCTTAATCTCAACTTAATCCAAGCTTAATCCAAGCTTAATACAAGCTTAATCCCAACTTAATCCAAGCTAAATCCAAGCTTAGTTTAAGCTTAATCTAAACTGAATCAAAGCTTAATCAAAGTTTAATCCAAGCTTTATCTAAACTTGACCCAGTTTCAACTTAAGTTTAGTCCAAGTTTAGCTCAAGCTTCTACAACAATCTGAGCTTAATCCCAGATAGTTGTATTCCAGATTCACCTGGATGACCCGTGTTTACTTCAAAGAGAGTCAGGGCTGTATTATCATGCTTGATCTAACTAGGTAAAACTATGATAGAATCATCTAACACTTTGATTGAATCATAAAAACTTTGATAGAATCTTATAAAACTTTGTTAGAATCATGTAAATCTTTTATGTATTTAACAAATCTTAGATAAAAGTATGATAAAACCTTGTAAACTTTAATAGAACCTTGTTAATCTTTAATCGAATTTTATAAATCTTGGATAGAATCATGGAAATATATTATCGAATCTAATAAAACTTTAATGGAAAAAATCCGGGAAATTAAATTATTTTTTTTTTAAACTAATATTTTTGTAAAATTGTTGGAAAATGTTTTTTTATTGTTTTCAACTGGTCTTCACAAATGAAAATAATTGACTTACGTTTATTGTTATTTTTTAATTTTTAATAAATTTTTATAAAATTTTAGAAAACAATAAGAAAACATTTTCCCAAAAAATTTTAAATATTTTTCCTGTTCGCAGACTTTTTTTAATATTTCAAAAAGAAAAAAATGGTATGCCTTAATTACGAACAAAACTATTTATTTTAAATTTTTTCCAAAACATCGATAATTTCGGTTTTTGAGTTCTCCACAAAGGATGAGACTTCAGAGACGACTTTACAGAATTTATACCGTCTGTTTTTTTCCAATATTTATTATTTACTACAACTTGTTTCTTTATTTCCCTAACCATTGAATAAGCATTTAAAAGATTGTACTCAAGGTAGAATACTTAATTTAACTTTGAAATCATCAGATTTATAGAGTTTCAGGTCGTCTTTAAAGTTTCATCCTTTTTTGGTATCCCTGTATATTTATATTTATATATATATATATATATACACAGAACAGAACAGACCTCACTGAAGATTGGTCCATGACAATTGGTCTATGAAACATTGTGTATAAGGATATTTATCTGTTTTATCTGTTTTTTTGATTGAATAATAAATTGAGTATATATATATAGATATATATATATTTAGATATATTAATGTATTTATATATAGATACTAAAGTTTGCAGCCATAATTTGATTTTTCTATTAAAAAGTCAGGGAAGTAGTTCTTTGAACTTTTAATGTAGAATTAACATAGTTATATGGTAACTCAAAAATTAGATATTGATTAGGGTGCGCCAACTTTTTTATGATAGGGCTCATACACTTACTATAAAAATAAAGTTTAAGGTATATCGTATTTTGTTAAAAAAAAAATATTAAGTACCGACATAATGACATTAAATAATAATAATAAGGATTTTCTCCTTCTATTTTTGAAAAGTTAAAAAATATTGAGAAAATAAAACTGAAGTAACTGAAGTATTCGATTTTTTTTCTGTCTAAGTTTAAGTTTTTTTTTTCAAAATTTATGATTTTTTCCATTTATTTTTGAATAAAAATCTTATTTGTTTCAGTAAGAAAAGCCTTGAAAGTGTACGAAAATGGAAAGCTGATTTGGACAGCAAGGTGAAGAAATGAATATTTTAAATTTTTTTTTTGAAATATGTTGTCCGCCATGCGGATGCAAGATATTATTATACATAACTGGTATTCCCACATAATATCATTATTTATTCCTCACTATTTTATGTCTTTATATCTACTATTTTATTCCTCACTATTTGTTGTCTTTATATCTACTATTCCCACATAATATCATTACTTATTCCTCACTATTTGTTGTCTTTATATCTACTATTTTATTCCTCATTATTTGTTGTCTTTATATCTACTATTCCCACATAATATCATTACTTATTCCTCACTATTTGTTGTCTTTATATCTACTATTTTATTCCTCATTATTTGTTGTCTTTATATCTACTATTCCCACATAATATCATTACTTATTCTTCACTATTTGTTGTCTTTATATCTACTATTCCCATATAATATCATTATTTATTCCTCACTATTTGTTGTCTTTATATCTACTACTTTATTAAGTTGGTGTCTCTCGCCTCTTCTAAGGGACTGTAAGCCTAGTCTCAATATCCCTTAATGCAAAGATGGCAATGTCCGATTTACAACGGTACCCTTAAAAGCAATAACTGATTAAGTATGAATTTGACAAGCTATACAACATTTTCCCCATTACTGATTAGAACAAGTTTCTATGGTACTGTTGCGAATCGGGCATTGACATCTTTGCAAAGAGGGTTACTTGCATTTTCGCTTACAGTCCCTTTAGCATTTTCTTGAATGTTGAAAGGACATGTTAGGTTAGTTTGTGTGAAGGTAAAGGAATACCAACCTTATTGCTGGCATTTGTTAAACCCAGTTTAGATGGAACATTTATAAGATTCCACCTTAGGTTAGTTTGTGCGAAGGAAGGGTGTACCACCCCTATAGCTGGCATTAGTTAAACCCAGTTTAGATGGAACATTTATAAGATTCCACCTTAGGTTAGTTTGTGCGAAGGAAGGGTATACCCCCCTATAGCTAGCATTAGTTAAACCCAGTTTAGATGGAACATTGATAAGTTTGCACCTTAGTTTAGTTTGTGCGAAGGTAAAGGAATACCAACCCTATTGCTGGCATTTGTTAAACCCAGTTTAAATTGAACATTTATAAGATTCCACCTTAGGTTAGTTTGTGCGAAGGAAAAGGAATACCAACCCTATTGCATTTGTTAAACCCAGTTTAGATGAAGCATTCATAAGATTCAACCTTAGGTTAGTGTGTGCGAAGGAAGGACCACTTCTATAGCTGGCATTAGTTAAACCCAGTTTAGATGGAACATTTATAAGTTTCCACCATAGGTTAGTTTGTGCGAAGGAAAAGGAATACCAACCCTACTGCTGGCAAACAAATGCGATCTTGTTCAGAGAGCTGTAACTACATCAGAGGTAAAATATTTTTAAATGGTAATGATGAAGCAAAAGCACATATATATATATTACAGGGCAAACCACATTTTGGGAATGTCAGAGCTAGAGAAATTTTGTCATTATGATTCATACATGTAAAAGTAGGTTGACGAGTGGATGCTGCAAATTATTTCAAACATCAAGACAACCTTTAAGTCGTCTTTGTACTCTTAAGATTTGTGGGACACCCTGTAGTAGCGTCCATCATAACAACAACCTTGTTAAACCCCTAGAATTAAAAATTTAATTAATTCTATGGTGGAGCTGAGCGCTTTACTAACCAAAAGTTTAGTCTCTGTAAATCTGTTAACACATTCTGATATATTCTGTATTTTCTCTAAAACTTCTGATAAATACTAATTAATACATAACTGTTTTTGCATAATTAATATTTACTAGTAGAGAGAAACAAAGATTAATTATGGAAGGAAATGGTCTTGTTTAAATATATACTAAATTGTGTAAAAAAGTACACATTTAAAAAATGCATAAAAAGAATTTTCATGAATCTTTATATATATATATACATATTATATATAGAGTTGTTCAAAGAATTGTAACTACTGAGGATCGTCATGATAGGTGTGCAACATTATGTTCAGTATAATTCTTTTTTAATAAAAAAATGTGAAGTTAAAATCTAATTAAGCTAATTTTTTTCATAAACTCAAAACCCTTCTTTTGATTCACAATATCGTAAACTTTTTTTTTTGAAGATCAAAGGCAAATTTTGAGTCGTACAGTCGTCTCTCAATTGTCATGTTTATTGGGACACCCTGTATTTTTGTATGCCTAGGTTCCTGGTGGACTCAATGATAGAGAATATTGAAAGCACAGAGAAGCCAATTGTTGAAAAAAAAGTAGGAAAATAATGTTTTTAACAATTTTATTTTAATGATTTATATTAAAAAATGATCCGGCAAAGAAGCTTGATGACAGATTTTAATGTCGTCGCCTAACCTTCTTGTTACATTGGGACACCTTGCACGGTTAGAGTTGAGACCTAGCTTTACAATATAGTTTGTACCAATCTAACAAATTACTGAAAAGTTTGGAGATATCTGCAATATTTTAGATATCTAGCATTCTGTTCGTGATTTTGTGCAAAACGTTCGAAATTTCAATGCTTTCGGTAGTTTGTTCTGAGGAACAAAATTTCATGATTTCATATTTTCTAGGATAAAGATGTTACAGAGCTTCCCATTGTTCTATTTTCTAGGATATAGATGTTACAGAGCTTCCCATTGTTCTATTTTCTAGGATATAGATGTGACAGAGCTTCCCATTGTTCTATTTTCTAGGATAAAGATGCTACAGAGCTTCCCATTGTTCTATTTTCTAGGATAAAGATGCTACAGAGCTTCCCATTGTTCTATTTTCTAGAATATAGATGTTACAGAGCTTCCCATTGTTCTATTTTCTAGGATAAAGATGCTACAGAGCTTCCCATTGTTCTATTTTCTAGGATATAGATGTTACAGAGCTTCACATTGTTCTATTTTCTAAGATATAGATGTTACAGAGCTTCCCATTGTTCTTTTTTCTAGTATATAGATGTTACAGAGCTTCTCATTGTTCTATTTTCTAGGATATAGATGTTACAGAGCTTCCCATTGTTCTATTTTCTAGGATATAGATGTTACAGAGCTTCCCATTGTTCTATTTTCTAGGATAAAGATGTTACAGAGCTTCCACTTGTTCTATTTTCTAGGATATAGATGTTACGGAGCTTCCCATTGTTCTATTTTCTAGGATATGGATGTTACAGAGCTTCCCATTGTTCTTGGTGATATCATAATATTTTCTAGGATATAGATGTTACAGAGCTTCCCATTGTTCTATTTTCTAAGATATAGATGTTACAGAGCTTCCCATTGTTCTATTTTCTAGGATATAGATATTACTGAGCTTCCCATTGTTCTATTTTCTAGGATAAAGATGTTACAGAGCTTCCCATTGTTCTATTTTCTAGGATATAGATGTTACAGAGCTTCCCATTGTTCTATTTTCTAAGATATAGATGTTACAGAGCTTCCCATTGTTCTATTTTCTAGGATATAGATATTACTGAGCTTCCCATTGTTCTGGATATAGATGTTAAGAGCTTCCCATTGTTCTTTTTTCTAGGATATAGATGTTACAGAGCTTCCCATTGTTCTATTTTCTAGGATATAGATGTTATAGAGCTTCCCATTGTTCTATTTTTTAGGATATAGATGTTACAGAGCTTCCCATTGTTCTTGGTGATAACGAACAACAAAAAATACTGGAAAACGCACAGGTAAAATCTAAATGCATAATTATATTATTGGTAAATGTTATAAGATATCTTTTATATTACGAAATAGTATCAACTATTTATTTAGGTTCAGCGTTCCTGTTGTCAATAAAGATAGGTGTCAGTTCATCAAATATTGTGTTTAGTACATAAGATCAAATAAGATAAAACAGTTGGTTATGTCTTTTTTTTCAACAATGTACATAATTTAGAAGTACTGCACTAACAAAATTTTTTAAAAACAATTATACACTGCAGTGATAACCAGAAAACAGAAAAAGATTCAAATTAAGGCTTTCAAGTGTCCAATAAGCATGGGACACAGCAATTGTGCAGCGTAAATAGACCCATTTCACATAAGTAGTAATTTAATATACAGTTAAACCTTAATTTATGTAAATCTCAGTATTTGCGAAAATAAATACATAGCCATGAATATGCGGGAAAAGTTTAAAAGAGCTCCATATAATCATTTAATTAAAAACTAAATATCTGCAACATTCCGCTATCAGAAAGTGAAGAATACGACATTTGATGAGTTCTTTCGATGTCTGGCTTATTTAGGGTTTAGCTGTAAGTGTCTAGAAAATACACTGATATCTTGCAATAAAGCCGTCTTTCTGCAGAGTTTTCTGGTTATCACTGTATATATACCACATAGCAATGTAAGCTGTTTCACCGATATCGAAACGTGAATTAACCTTTCTTTACATTAAAACAAAAAACTGCACATTTCGAAAGTAAGGTTTTTACAAAAATAATTGATTTTTTTTCAAAAGAAAATTTTTTGTAATAAGAAAATTCAGTACAATATGATACTCACAACATCAAGGGATTTAGATATAAAAGAGGAAGATTGTTTACTATGACGTAATAGGACAGCCTTAGAACCAGATTTACTGTAAACATATATAAATTGCAAAAGGAATACACCAGAGGGGGGGGGGGGTGATAGTTGTCTACCTGCTAACCGTGCCAACCTATAAAACCGTACTGTACTGTGTAGTGTGTACACTTACAACTGTTTAATGGTTTAATAGCTTCTACTTGACAGCACCATTTCAGAAATACTTTTCATAACACAATAATCACTATAACAACTATTGTCCTGCAATTGCCAAAATAAGGTCGGCCATTTTGTACTTTCAACATTACAAGAGATATAAAGAATTCGATTTATATTTCAATTTATGAAATACAACCGAAATTGTCAAATTCTGGGCGAAATCATTCATTTCAAAAATCAAAGACGACTTTCAAGACTTGTCTTCCACTACTTTAACAATACTAATATCTAAAACAAGTTTCTGAGGTAGCCTAATACGTCACAATAAAATAATCCTANCTTTCCTTGACTCACAATACAGTGCTTTCTCCTTTAAACAGGGTAAGCCACAAAGATTGAGACTTCAGATACGACTGTACAAAATGTACTGTACTGTCTGTTTTCTTCTATTTATGATTCCCCGCGACTGTTGCCATGTTTTGTTATTTTTGCCAAATCAATGTATAAACTACTAGATGGGGCCCGGTGTTGCCCGTGCTAAAAAAGATAGAAAAAAATTATGAAAAAAAATCGATTTTTTTAGCCTATAACACCCCCCGGCCACCCATGAGTGTCCACAAACAAATTTAGTCCATTTGGTTCAGCCGTTTGGCCGGCTATATGCAACATATATATATACAAATGTCTTGTTTTATTATATAGATTTAGTGACTATATAAGGTAGAAAACCTAACCTAGGATTCATCATATTTAAGGAGTTCTAGGTCGTCTTTGCAGTATCATCCTTTGTGGGTAACTTGTAAAACCTATTACTGCTTCTGATTCAAAACAAATTGAGCATTTGCCACAAACTCTGATTTTTTAATTTCTATACTTCAGCAATTTCCAATGTTGTAAACCTTATATATATTTTAAACTATAAATTCTGTTAGAAAGAATAATCTAAATTTTAAATATCAGGTTGTTAAGATATAGGAATAAGAAATCTAAGTTTGTGGAAAATTGGCACTAAAATGGGCTAAATTTAACATTTTTTTCTCCACAAAAATATTGTTAAATGTTTTAATTTTATATGTTTTATTTTTTGAAAGCATTGTCAAAAAACAGATATTAATGTTTAGATAGAAATTATAATGTAAGAATATCAATTCTGAGTTTTATTTGAATAAAATATACAAACTTAATCCTTTCTTTAGGCGAGACCGTCAGATGTATGATTAAATAGAGTTTACCAGACTCTAGTATTATAGGACTTGATCAAATTAACTCAATAAATAGTCATATTAGCAAACTTACTTCACGACGCTTGAATTATAACATGAAACAAATACTTTATTTTAATAATGAAAATAGATCAAATGGTTGATATAAAAATATATTAGTGATAAAACATCTTGAAAACAAACAACTCCATTGTACTGTGCTCGGTCAGAGATTGTAGCCGACTAGCCTAGCCCTCCCTATCTTCACGTTCAGATCGATAAACCCAAGCTATCCCTAGCATCTGATTCCGTCTCGGAAAGACAGCTTGGCTTGGTACTATTTAAACACAGGGTGTCCCAATAAACATGGGAATTCAGAGACGAATTCGATATCGTCTTTTCAAAAAACTCTTTGATTTTGTATAGTGATACCAACTGAGAAAGCTGTAATCCGTAAGATTTTCTTCTGCTATGTTTACAATTTGTTTGTTTATGTTTTGACTGCATACGGTTGTACTGAGTAAAACAAGAAAATTACAGTATACACACAGAGTAAACTTGTCCGTCTTCAATGTTCATCTTGCGGAGACATTATAGACACATTTTTACAGCCATTTACCGTTATCATAAAATAAACTCTAGCAGACATAATAATATTATGGCTTTTAAAATCAGGTATTGCAAAGCTAATTCATAACAAAGACGATATCGAATTCGTCACTGAATTCCCATGTTTATTGGGACACCCTGTAGCATGGGAAAACAAAGAACTAACGGTGTATTTATTTCCCCTTACTACTATATAAAAATTACAGTTTCTTTACAGTACAGGGTAGAAAAATGTTTTTAACAAATTTTATTACAAAATTGTATAAATAATCATATGATAGCAGATACTAGTTTTTCGATATATTTATTTTTCTTAAAATCTCCATTTTTGTATTGCATCATTGAATTTTTCTAGCAGGAGACTGCAAGTAGTTTTTATGTCTATTTTTAGAGTTAAAAATAACCTAAAGGAGGCATTTGAAACACTGATGTCCAAAATTAAGGCAAGCCTCTTTGGGTGCATTGCCATTCTTCCCAGTTTGACCAACCTGTCAGTGGTCATGACCTGTTCAATTGAGCAATATTTACATCACAAAGTTTCAGTGGTCGATACAAAATTGATACGTTTTGATTTATCATATTCCTGATATGCCAAGTACAGCATTGCGAAAAACTTCATCACGCATGTATTTTATGCTTTTAATGTTTTTATTTTTATTTTAAGCAGCACTTACAAATAGCATTTTTAGTTAAAATCCAAACTGACTATCGCAAATGACCATTTGGGGCCGAAAAACCGGTTATACAAGTGCTTCTTATTTTTTTCAAAATATGTCGATATGGGTAAAACAAAATCCGCCTTGCAAAGCCTAATTTTACGCAGCAATCTAGGAGCATTAAAGTGGAAAAAATTAGGAAAATTACAAAATTCCTTAGTTTTCAGCTTAAATTTGGCTATTATTTATTATTTTGTATAATGGTTTCTCCATTGAATATGGCTTGAAAGAAGGATTTTTTTATGCCCATATCGACATATTTAAAAAAACACTCTTACTAGCATCACAAAAGACCATTTGCGATTGTCAATTTTGATTTTAGCGAAAAATGTCTTTTGTAACTGTTTCTTAGAATTAAAAATACATTTTGTATTTCCTATTTGAAAAATGTGTGAAAAATGTGTGAAAAATCTTTCCCCCTTAAAACATATCTTCCTATTTTTACAATGTAAATTTTACTTATTTACACACAGGGGGTCCCACGAAACATGACAGTTGATGAATAGTTTTGAATATCTTTTTCCATATACTGCATTAGATAATGAAGACATTTTACAGCATATTTCGGTAATTTTATTTTAAAAAATCTTTTACTTAAATATATTTTAATTTGATTAAATTTTACTATAATTTGACTGCCATATAATATTTTTTACTATGCATTTTGATATTAACTTAACAAATTATGGAAGAAGACATTTTATGCTATTCATCAACTGTCATGTTCCGTGGGACACCCTATATACTAAATAAGCCATACATCAAAAGAATTCATCAAATGTCGTATTCTTCACTTTCTCATAATGGAATGTTGCAGATATTCAGTTTTTTAATTAAATGATTATATAGAACTCTTGAAAACTGTTCCCGCATATTCATGGCTATTTATTTATTTTCGCAAATACTGAGATTTACGTAAAATAGTATAAAACCCATTGATAAATTGTCAAGACGACATTTAAAAATTCTTTTCGATGTATGGCTCATTTAGGGTTTACCATTACATAATTAAATATTACAGTTTAAATGAGAAATGAAATGACTTAATAAAAATGCAGGGAGATTTTTTATTTAAACATCCATTTTAAGTTTTAGTGTGAAAAAATTCTTTTCTTTGCATCTATTTGAAAAAAAAAACAGTAATATTAAGTTCATTCTGCTTGACACAAATTTATAATTCTTACCCAAGTAAAAGTTAGCTTCGTCAGTGAAAGCGATATTGATGAGTTCTTCATCTGAGAGCGTCACCAGCCACTCGCACATCTCAAACCTTTTCTCCCTGTCCCCCCCCTGTGATAGACGAAGCTGCTGTGCTGTAATCAATCTAAACAAAATACAAGTAAAAGAATGTCCATATGTATATAATGAGAATGGCAGCGGAATCAAATAGTCATTTTTAATGATAAAGTTTAAAACATGCCATTTTCTAGATTTCAGTTACACCTAGTTTACCAACTGACTGACTAAGGGTCAACTTGCCCCCCCCTCTTTTTCTTATTTTGATAAGAAACTATTTACTTATTGTCTCTGAAGTAGAAATTCGAAACTCACTTAATAGAAAAACTATAATTAAAACTAATCAATTTTGTAGCCTACTAATGAGGATATCTCATTCATCGTTAAGCAGACAAAGTTTAAAAGGGCTTAAGGCAAAATTTCCAGTGAAATTAAATTTTTACAGTGGCGTTTCCGATTCATACTCTTAAAACCTTTGTCTAGTCAAGAAAGAATGTGAAATTCTTATTTTTCTTGCTAAAAATTGATTATTTTCAGTTGGACTTTTTACTAAAAAGTAATTACATAATGTTTACCTAAAACATTGTTGATTCATCTCCTGCATCAACCTACTCCAAGAAGATTTAGACACGTTAAAATTATTTTTTTCGAGCAGAGCCGGCTTGAATTAAATATGAAGTGTTTCTGTCTTGTTCAAGCAGAGCTTCCGCTCTGGCCTTGGTTGCTTCTGTAAGAACAGACCTTTTTCTTCCACTATATCCCTGGTGGAGGTTCTGAACTGTAAACTTCTGCTTGAATTTTTTCACATATTCTATACACTGTACTTTTACTTGGTACTTTTGAGCCAGGAAATGCTCTTTGAAAAGCGTATACAACCCGCTGGGCACGATCATTTTAAAGTTTTAAATTCCTCAAAACTTCTCACAATGAAACTTCTTTCCTCAAGGGTATATCGCTATCGGCCTTGTTTATGAATTGGGGCCATTAATGCATTTATTGTCTTGTTAATGGATATGAATAAACTGGAATAATTGTACACCACAGTACAATTAGTTTTGTACACAAACATTTCAATCTCATTAAAATACTTTTCAGGGCTGTTCAGTTTTCTTCGTTTTCGTGTTAAGACACAGAATAATAATACTGCATTTTATTAAAGTTTACGTAAAATATACTCTTGCAGACGAAATTACATAATATGTCTTTACATCAGGTATTAAAATACTAATCCTGAAAAAAGACGACATCGAATTCGTCACTGAATTCCCATGTTTTTTGGGACATCCTGTATTTTAATCCAAGGGTTTGTCACGTGACACAAAATAAGTTCCTGTGAAGTGTAACTGGTCTCCTAGGAAATCACCCAATTTTACGGAAAATTTTCTTTGTTTTCTCACCTTTGCTTTTTAAAATAAAAATAAAAAGTGTTTAAAGGGAGAGACTGGCTAGACATTGTAGTTGAGCTGAGACTGCAGTATTGTCCAGTGCAAAAACCAGAAAACTGTGGAGTAGGAAGACGACATTTAGACACTGATTCAGAGTTTATGATTTTGTTACTAATCAACTAGACACTTAAATATTCGCTAAAATTAAGTATAATCAGTCTTGTACAGTGCTCAATTGCTGTGGTTAATGTTCAATGGACTATTTAAAGTTATAACTTAAATCTGGAAGTCATCTTCCTATTCCAGAGTTTCATGTTTATCACTGGAAAGATATTTGTTTGTTCATTAAAACCTTAAAGACCTTTTCAGTGGACTCTTTCTGAACAATTTACACCGTAAAAACGTCATATAGGTCTCAAATGAATTCTAAAACATTTCTCTACAATTCCGCACTCGCAGTTCATCTACCATGTCACCCGGTCTCTCCCTTTTACACCACTCTCGTATATCGTATTTCTTCAATATATAAAAAAGCACAATTGTAACATTTTGCAGATTTCTTTTTAATACGTTACGAGAGGAATAGAGCTTTTGACTTTTCTCATCTCAGGGGGTTGTGGAGCTCTCAGCAGTACCCTGGGTCATCAGTGAAACATATGATTTAAAGACCCTTTCGAGTGCTCAGTTACACTAGAATAATAACTCCCCCCCCCCCTCAAATTCTATCAAACATTCACACAAACAGATTTGTGTATGGCAAAGACTCGGTTCCTGCAGTGAACGCAAATAACCTAAAAACATTTGGCCCCAATCTGACCATTTTTAAGCTAACACAACACCCACAAATTATTATTTCTAACTCAATTATTAATTTGAAATAATTAAATAGGTCTGAATTAAAAAATAGATTTTAATTTGATAATATAAATTGTAATAAAAGTAACTGTCAACATAATCACATTTTAAGCATCGAAACTAAAATAATTTACATTGAAAAATTGATACCAAAGCGGGAGTATATGATGTTAAAAAAATCTTAAAAGGTTATGCTTTGCAGAACATTTTTTATAGATATCTACTCTAAGATAATAACATATAAGATTTTAGCATAATACGCAATACAAGAATGTTTGTTTAAAGCAAAGCATAACCTTTAAAATCAGAACTTTTTAATAGATATTTATCAGTTTTTACTCTATGATAATAGCATTTAAGATTTTAGCATAATACGCAATACAAGAATGTTTGTTTAAAGCAAAGCATAACCTTTAAAATCAGAACTTTTTAATAGATATTTATCAGTTTTTACTCTGTGATAATAGCATTTAAGATTTTAGCATAATACGCAATACAAGAATGTTTGTTTAAAGCAAAGCATAACCTTTAAAATCAAAACATTTTTAATAGATATTTATCAGTTTTTACTCTATGATAATAACATTTAAGATTTTAGCATAATACGCATTACAAGAATATTTGTTTAAAGCAAAGCATAACCTTTAAAATCAGAACTTTTTAATAGATATTTATCAGTTTTTACTCAATGATAATAACATATAAGATTTTAGCATAATACGCAATACAAGAATGTTTGTTTAAAACAGTACGACACAAAAATAAAAATACAGACTAGGTTTGAAATTACAAAAATATTTCATCTTTATTAGCCATCCAGGAAATTATTCTGATATAGATTTCTTAATCTTACAACTCCTTAAGTTTTCTTTTGATTCCCCTGTTTAGGGTTTTCTGTTTCTCATGCGTCTTCATACCTCGGGAAATTTTGCTATTACTGAAATGCAAGAATATTTCAATCCATCAATTTTAAGGTTCTTCAAAACTCGAAAGGTTTCTTGGTATTTAGTCTTTTGTATACTTCATATTCATTTAGGTTTCTACGTTAACAGTCCTACCGACTACCTAGGTCTAATAACTATCTAGGTCTTTCGGACATCAACAAGTTTTGTCCAAGGTCTCAAGGTTGATAGCCAGTCCTGTCTTAGTCTTTAAAGATTCTGAAATCTGAATGCTGCAGATAATATCTCCAGCAACCATCTAGATTTCAAGATGGAATGAAAAGTTCTGAAAGTCTCTATTTCTCCAAGAAGTCTTGAAAATCACAAATAACAAATCACATAAACCTTTAAACGCTTAGACCAACAATAAACACTTGGAAGCATTGGATTGAATCAAAATCCCGCAATTTTCTCTCTCAAATACACTCGAGATGAGATCAATTTATATTGGGGCAAAATATGATGTAGATAACATCATCCCAATAACCAATAATTCATAAATTAAATGCAACATAACGTCCATAATTGCTATTCATTGCAAAGCGTAATTAAGAATCAATTTTCATCTTTTTCAGTTTAGTTGTGACGGTATTGCATTCTCCTAAGTGCACACTTAGACGCAGCAATCTCGGCCATCCGCTTATTATTCCCTCGCCCGATAAACCTGAACAGTTATAATTATAAAGAGAGAGAGGGAAATGATTTTTTGAAGATCTAATTCTAGGGAGAACAAAATTAGATATCATCAGGCCAGTTTTTAGTAATGTCCCCAATTAACTGAATATGCATGAGGGGGGGGGGGGGACGGAGAGATATGTTCCTATGAAATGTTGCTGTATCTCTTACTTCAAATCCTTCCCGTTGCAGGAGATAGTAGCGGTAATATTCACATGATTCTCCTTCAGCTCCGCTTTTCCAAACTTTACTCCTAAAAATAAAATTTGTCATCGTTTTGATTGTTTTTCTTTATTTTAAACCCCATTGTACATCGAAATTTGTTTTTTGCTTTTTTAACATTTGGATATATTGATTCTAACTGAAAATATTAAGTGCACGTTAAAGGAGCAAAATCAATTGTTGGTTAACTAATAATTTGAATAATTGTTCAGAGTTCTTTTTTGCGTAGTATAATAATTAGACCAAACAATCTCATATTATTTAATGGAGCCTCTTAAAAGCTTAAAAATCTCCGAGTCGACATATATATATATATATTTTTTGTTTGTACCAAAAAAACCTGTAAAATTTAACCCGATGCAGGTGCCCAAATTTTTTATAGCAACTGACATGGGCCCAAGGAAGGTTTAGGGTTGATCAAGTTTTAGAAATTTGAACAAAAAAAATACAATGCTTGTAATGAATTCTGTATTTATCTATGTTCGTTTATCTATCTTATCATGTTTCATGTTGACCCTTAATGACCAGTACGGTCAGTTTAAATTCACCTGTATATAAATAAATTTAGTTCAATTGTGTTCGTTGATTTATACAGACGTATATAGAGCCTAGAGTTTGGCTGAGAATAGAGAGCCTTGAGTTTTGGCTAGAGATAGAGATAAGTGTGTTCTTTATTAGACTTTGAGTATAGTAATNTCGAGATCAGCACAGGACAAGAGGTTGGGGTGGCGTTCCGCAATGTGTCGCTATCCCTCATGCCGTGGAACGGTACCAGGGGGAAGATCAGGATGAAACCCGGGGCAGATCAAATCCAAATAGAGAGGTCGAAGATATTTGATGATAAGTTAATGAGAGATAGTTAGCTTCGTAAACTATACTCTCATCACCTTTTCCCCGGGTATTTTGTAATGAATTCTGTATTTATCTATGTTCGTTTATCTATCTTATCATGTTTCATGTTGACCCTTAATGACCAGTACGGACAGTTTAAATTCACCTGTATATAAATAAATTCAGTTCAATAGTACTCGTTGATTTATACAGACATATATAGAGCCTAGAGTTTGGCTGAGAATAGAGAGCCTTGAGTTTTGGCTAGAGATAGAGATAAGTGTGTTCTTTATTAGACTTTGAGTATAGTAATTGCGTCTAGATTTGTTACATGCTGACATTTTTCTTTTTTCGAAAGGCACAATTTAATCAGAAAAATTCTCAAAATTGTAAGTTTTACAATTACGAAGAAAATTTAACAATTTAAAATTGTCACTAGAAAAGGAGCGTATTACCATGAATGCCTAGTTTATAAAAACGAATAAAAATTATACCAACTTTACCTGGACACATCTCAAAAAGAACCTTCTTAGGATTCTTAGGAGGATCCTGTATGATTAAATCCAACTGAGGGTTGAACCTGGAATTAAAGGATGAATATAACAATGGTGCCATGGATTCATTTCATTTTGATCAGGATCCAGCTCATGAATCTATAATCTAAATCTTCTAGAAAATTTACCCCAAATCACAAGAATATTTTTAGTTAAGTAATATAACTGTCTCTGCAAGATAAACAGTGAAGACGGACAAGTTTACATTGTTGGTGTAAAAGCTTGTACAACAGTTTACTAAGTACAACAGTATGCAATCAAAACAGAAACAAATTCTGAACTCTAGTCTGAACGAAACTTCTACAAGACGCCGTAACAAAAGTCATAATATGTTTTTCATAAATACATTTGTCATAATACGATTTTTTATAGTTTCACTTTTCATAAATTATAAAAGTCATAACTTATATTTTTCATAGTATACAAATCATACATTTGTCATAATCTATCCCATTTTAAATAGAGTAGAGAATCTTTTAGAAATCCACCAAACTCTTTGCTCGGAAACTGCATTGACCATGGATCGTCTATGAGATTTGAGATCGATTTGTGAGATTTTTCAAAGCTGTTATTTTGCATGATATCTATTGTCATAGTATGAAGATATTCTGCACAACCAGCTTGGCACAAAGGCAAATGTTTAGAGAATATGTGAACGGTTTGTTAAAGAGGAAGCTCTTTCACAACGAAAAACAGGGGAGAGCGTCCCAGAGAGAAACATAACAGGCTCCAAACTATTGTTTTATCATCTTGTACCCCAGGAAGATTATCTGAAGTCTCTAGCCAGTGAACTTGCTCAGTCGGATAAATAGACAATCTTGTTTAACAAATATAACATTGTTGACCTTTAAAAAGGTCAAAAATATTCTAATAAAGAAATCAGGAAAAACCCAAATATTCTATAACATTTATTTATGAAAAATAAGATTTGTTTTGAAATATTTGCACAAATGCGAAGTTAAAATTGGTTGATTGAAATTAATAAAGGAAAAGACAAACATCAGCAGTAACTTCAAGTTGGTGATGGTGTTGAAAGGATTGGAACAGTTGGAGCTTCATGATGGTCAGCTCACAGGTGTCAGCATCTTGGCATCAAAGGGTTCACATCTAAGCGACAGTTCTGGGGGATTAGCAGTCAGTAACATGTGAAGGGAGGAACTTGATTTGCCTCTCAATCCCCTGGACATGCGACTCTGGAGGGGGGGTTTTGCAGTCAGTAACATGTGGGGCGTGCTTGCTTTGCCTCTCAACCCCGTAACATGCGACTGCCTTGGAGGTCGGCTTAGACATTAGCAGCATTTGTTGCTAGAGTAGACATCAGCGGCGGGATGAAGGAGTTAGGAGTTCCAGAGCAGAGGTGTTCACATCTCGACATTCTAAAGCTAACTGACGCTGGATGAAGTGGGAGCTAGGCTGAGCGGGGATTTGACATGTGGGGCGTGCTTGCTTCATTCGTGGTTCCTGTGTACACACGCATTTAGAGAATTAACAGAGGCATTTTGGGCCGGTAAAATCGTCTTCCTTATATTTTCGAATTTATGTTAACAAACATGTCAAGTGTTGTAAACATATTTGAAAATATGTAAGAATTAGTATGAAAATATGATTATGACAAATGTATGATTTATATCCTGTAAATATCGTATTTATGACAAATGAAAGTTATGACTTTTAAAATTTATGACTTATGAAATTTATAAAAAATGTAACTTAATTTATGACTTTTGTGATTATGGCAAAAGTATTATGAAAAACATATTTATGACAAAAGTATTATGACTTTTGTTACTGCGTCTCCTACGGATTAACAGATATCACTATAATAGATCAAAAATTATTAAGAAAAAACAATCCCGAATTCCCATGATTATTGGAACCCCCTGTACCTGTTATACACTTTCCAGGTGACCTCAAGGTCATGACCAGAGTCTACGAAAACTGCTCCAATCAAAGCTTCAAAAACGTCCCCTAGAACCTAGAATTTTTTCTCAATTAAAAAATTAAATTATTCCTTATTTTCATTAAATTATTGGAAAAATGCTTTAAAAATGTAAAACCGATAATTAATTACTAACCACTGAAAACTGCGTTTATTTGTTTATTTCACTAAAAGCATTTCCCTAAAAGTATAAATATGCATAATTACACTTTTTTTGCCCCCACACATCCAACCTAGTTAATGTCAGTGATAATTTTACGACGGGAAGGACGGAAGATTTAGTATTTTCGATTTGCTCACCTTAGGGACTTCAACCTCTTTGAGCGAGGGAGGTTCGGACTCATTGATCCTCTTGAGGTTCTCCAGCAGCTTCTCCCTGGAGGCCAGGATGTAGGGGATAGAGCGGTCCTCGTTTCTGAACTCAACATACTCCACGATTTTATTCTAAATAAATTTTAATTTTTGTTTGTCCCAACAGTATACTTTTAAATCTCTCTGACATTCTCGCGAAAGTAAGACTATTCAAAATGACCAAAATGATATTGATTATGTTAATGATATTGATTATGATGTTAATAAGATTGGTTATGTAGCAGTGAGTTTGCATGACACCGGGAAAGGTTATTTTATATTATAGAAAAGAAAATCCCTTGAATTTTTTTTTGTTAATTTCACCAATGAAAACAGAAAAAGCAGAAATTTTATATATATCTACCCCCGATTCAAATCTTAAATCACAATTTCAAAGTTTAATATTCATGAGGATTAGAATTGGAGGTTTAGATTTGAACCGGTGGTAGGTAATTCCGTGAGCTGTAAAATTAAAAAAATTTGTACACAGGAATAAATATTTTTTTACTATAAAATCAATATTTTTACTTAAGGAAAAACTAAAAGTCAAGGAGATAAAATTACAAACCCGAACTATGGGAGCTTCGTAAAGGATATTGCCATGTAGTCCTTTATCCACGAGTAGTCCAGCAAACATATTGTTACAGACAAGAGCAGACCTTAATATATAGTATATAAGATATAGGATATTGCCATGTAGTCCTTCATCCACGATTAGTCCAGCAAACATGTAGTTACAGACTAGAGCAGACCTTAATATATAGTATATAAAATATAGGATATTGCCATAAAGTCCTTCATCCACGATTAGTCCAGCAAACATGTAGTTACAGACTAGAGCAGACCTTAATATATATGATATAGGATATTGCCATGTAGTCCTTTATCCACGAGTAGTCCAGCAAACATATTGTTACAGACTAAAGCAGACTATAATATACAGGATATTGCCATGTAGTCCTTTATCTACGAGTAGTCCAACAAAGATATTGTTACAGACTAGAGCAGACTGAAATATATAGAATATTGCCATGTAGTCCTTTATCTACGAGTAGTCCAACAAAGATGTTGTTACAGACCATAGCATACTGAAATATATAGAATATTGCCATGTAGTCCTTTATCTACGAGTAGTCCAACAAAGATATTGTTACAGACTAGAGCAGACTGAAATATATAGGATATTGCCATGTAGTACTTTATCTACGAGTAGTCCAGCAAACATATTGTTACAGACTAGAGCACAAATACACAAATCAGTATAAGTGAGAAATAAAAATAATAATGGATTTAACACTGAATCAATTTTCTCGTCATAATAAAACCATTCATACTTTTGTCATAAAAGTGACTCCCCTTGTAATTATTAAGTGTAACATTATAAATTCACAACTGTACTTTAAAAACTTTATCTGATCAATAATGTGAAGATATCGCATAATTTCTACCTTGAATAGTGTATGTCACTTTTGAAAAGAAACCACGATTAAAATTAACCAATTTTGAAAGGAAAATAATGGATATCACTTTCAACCTCTATCAGCTAAAGTGTTTAAGGGTACAGTTGTGAATCTTATATGCCTCTCTATAAAAGTGACACTTGAAATTATTTCTAAATACTTTGAAGTCTTATTACGGTTCAAGTTGACCTAGCTTAGTATTAGTTGGCAAAACCTCTGATCTTTTATTTACCTAATATCTGTTAGCCTCCCAGGATCCGCATCAGTTTTAGTATATATGTAGCAGGATACTAGGTAGTCCAGAACTAGATAATTATATCAGTTTTAGTATATATGTAGCAGGATACTAGGTAGTCCAGTACTAGATAAATATATCAGTTTTAGTATATATGTAGCAGGATACTGGGTAGTAATCCAGTACTAGATAATTATATCAGTTTTATTATATATGTAGCAGGATACTAGGTAGTCCAGTACTAGATAACTATATCAGTTTTAGTATATATGTAGCAGGATACTAGGTAATCCAGTACTAGATAATTATATCAGTTTTAGTATATATGTAGCAGGATACTTTGTAGTCCAGTACTAGATAATTATATCAGTTTTAGTATATATGTAGCAGGATAATAGGTAATCCAGTACTAGATAAGTATATCAGTTTTAGTATATATGTAGCAGGATACTAGGTAATCCAGTACTAGATAATTATTTAGTATATATGTAGCAGGATACTAGGTAGTCCAGTACTAGATAATTATTTAGTATATATGTAGCAGGATACTGTAACTAGGTAATCCAGTACTAGATAATTATTTAGTATATATGTAGCAGGATACTAGGTAGTAATCCAGTACTAGATAATTATTTAGTATATATGTAGCAGGATACTAGTCCAGTACTAGATAATTATTTAGTATATATGTAGCAGGATACTAGGTAGTAATCTAGTACTAGATAATTATTTAGTATATATGTAGCAGGATACTGTAACTAGGTAATCCAGTACTAGATAATTATTTAGTAATGTAGCAGGATACTAGGTAGTCCAGTACTAGATAATTATTTATTTATTATGAGGTGGGATGAGTGCAAGGGTGTTTATAAAGGTTAGATATTCTTGATGTACTCCAATGTACGAAAAAGGACGGCTTCATAGCAAGGGACACTTCAAATCCTCATGTAACTGCTTATTGGCGGGAGATGAAGTGACAAAACCGTTTGTCAGCTGTATAAAGTGGACAAAATCCTCCCCCCCCCCCTAATTTCAACGCGATGCTAGTCATCCATGAACCATGAACTGTTTGATCTATGTAATATCTGTAAAATGGTCAAGCTGTGAATTACACTCAAATAGCTACCAATTCATATACCCCCCCCCCCAAAAAAAAACATTTTTATAAGGACTGTAGGCGTAGTTTCAAAGAACCGTCCATCGTTACTAAACGACGACCTTTGGTTGAATTTGAATTAGCCGCGTAGTTTTTTTATCCGTCAGTTTTTGGCGCAATTATTTTCTGGATTCAACGTATTTTAAGGTCTTGGATTTTTTAGTATAGTTGTGATTGCATTTATAGAACCGTAGTTAAAGGAGAAAATAAGGTTTTATCTTTTCTAGTTTTGACTCCTGAATTGCGCGCGGATTTATCAGAGCCCACAATGTGAATTTTCGCCTGCTATGCAAGGGTAGAAGAGGTTGAGGTAGATTATTCAATGTTTTAGACGGGATAGCAATGCTGATTGTTTTTGCGTTATTTTGATGATAACGACGCAACAACTTGTTTATGACTAATTTACAGCGTCACCATTTAAACCTTTGTCTAACCATCAACATCTGAATATTTACCGTCCAATACAGTACATTTTCTCAAATCCCGGAAAATGAAAACATTAGCTTGCTTTTCAATTGATCATCAATAATAATATAAGGATTACTTTGTCATCCTATATCAGCCAAATACTGTATTGTGTATCAAGCTTGCCAATTGAGGGTGACTTGAAATTACATCTGCAGTACCTTTTAATTACATAAAGGAAGAACTGACCTGAATCTCCTAGATACTCCAACCTCTCATAGCTGTCGGTTAGATTGTTGTCACTGTAACTGCTGTGCGTAAATGCCTAAAAATACAGAGGCACTCATAAAACTGATGAATACGGAGACAAAAGTTACTCTAAAGCTGGGATTTTTAATAGTCTATTGAGAATGAAACGCAGCAATTGTGCACTTGTGCAATGTACCTAGAGTTAGACCCAATTTACCAAGTATCTCTGCATATATAAATATATATATATAACACCTTGGGAATAAATTATTTCTCTTTTAACCTGAACCCAATCTTCTCCAAAATCTCTGAATGGTGTATTGTACATTGAACTTGTATTTTATCTTCTCCTATATCTCTGCATGGTGTACTGTACCTTGAACCTGTATTAAATCTTCCCCTCTCAAGGTAGACTAATCCAGTGGGGTCGGTCAAATAGGCCTAGGATTAGGCCGGGTACTGTAAAAAGTCTGAACGCGCCATGGGAGTTGTCATAATTAGCCCTCTCACGGGACTATGCAAAGAAAATTGACCCCTGTCGTATGTTAGTCTGGTTAGGGCGACGTACTGTACCATATGCAGGGTGGCTCAAACGTTTTTTGAAAAAATCCGTACAAAAATCCGTACATTTTCAGAAGAAATCCGTTCAATCCGTACAATCCGTACAATTTTCGAAAAAAATCCGTACAATCAGTACAATTTTCGAAAAAAAATCCCACCCTCAGCAACCAATGATGTTCCCTCTAACAACCTATATTCCTGGTAGTAAAAACTACTGTAGGTATTTGAATGCTTGGATGAGAACCCGGAAAAAATGAAAAAAGAAGATCAACTAAAGAAACTCAACATAAACTCAATTTTAAAATCCATTTATCTTTGCAACCTGAAAACCTTTGGTTTTTGAAACCAAGCCTAATTAATCTGGCAGAATTCACAGCTTATAATAACAAAAGTATACAACATAAGGTTGCAAAGATATAAAACTTAAACATTACTATTAAACACTAGAGAGCTGGAGAAATAGAGAACTTGAGAACTAGAGAACAAGAGAACAAGAGAACAAGAGAACTTAGAACTAGAGAACTAGAGACATAGATAACTAGAGAACTAGAGAACTAAAGAATTAGAGAACTAAAGAACAAGAGAACCAGAAGAGAACCAGAGAACCAGAGAACCAGAGAACCAGAGAACTAAGATTCTAATTTTTAAAACTGTTTAGACCGGTGGGAATTAGACCATTTAACAAACAAACGGTTAAGTTATAATTAGAAAGAGTGGAGTGTAGATTTAGGATCTAGTTCAGGGCAGTTGAGTAGTAAACATCTCTCTGTAAGAGTGTTTTAGGCAGTTTACACACTGCTTTCTCAATTCAAGACTTAAAAGACTTTAGTACATTCATCGAATTCTGGAAGATTCTAGATATAATCTGGCTTTCGCCAATCTTGTGGCGAAAATGGGGCCAAAACCCAAAAAATCTTTGGATAATTCTTTAAATACTTCCCTGGAGGAAATGGATAGTGAGACCACTGTAAAGGAACAAGCCAGTCATCAAGGCTTTCTTTTTAAAGTTACAAGATCTGGGAAAATGATTCTAGTTGATGGAATTTTAGGATTAATGTTTTATGCTTTTGATAGAGTTGCTGATAAAACCTGTGTTCTGGATACACTTAGTCGAGAGTTCTCCTTGGAACAGATGAAGAACTCTAGATCAAATTTTTATCAAGCTTTTCAACTGCAGGATACAGAGGGAAATATCCAAGAAAAACGAAAGATATCTACCATTTTTCTAGATCTCTGGGAAAAGATATCGAAAATTGATAGAGCTGGGCATGAAAATGTTGTGGTGACAGTTCCTTTCAATTTCCAAATACCCAAGTTTTTGACAAATAGTGAGTTTAGTGTCAAAAATATGTTATGTAGTGAATAAAAATCAATGTTTTCTATTTGTGCATAATTTTGCATATTTTTTCTCTTTTCTTTTGGAAACCTGTATTTTCAAAAAAAATTTATTTAAACAAATTTAACTACACCATTTATATATGTATTTATATCTTTGTGTGTGAATAAATCTTTATAATATAATAATTAAAAATAGCGTTGTACAGGGGTTGCACACTCAATTAAAAGAAAGTTAATATTAAACTAAAAATGAAAAGATTTACAGATAAATGGAAGAAACCTGAGAGGATGTTCTCCGATCTGATAAAGAGGCAGATAGATAGATAGATAAACAGACAGACAGATAGATAGACAGAGAAACAGATAGACACATACACATATAGATAAACAGATAGACAGATAGGATATATAAACAGATAGATAAAAAGATAGATAAACTGACATGCAGATAGATATACAGATGGATAGACAGATAGCTATACATATAGCTAGACAGATAGATATACAGATAGCTAGGCAGATAGCTAGACAGTTAGCTAGACAGATAGATAAAAAAATTCTCAAATGAACACTTCTGGAACATATTCTCAAATGAACACTTATGGGATCTCCAAAATTATGAATGAATTTGGATTGTCAATTGAAACGTTAATCAATCTAATATTATTTAGAATGCAGAAAATAAGTTAAACTAACTTCATTTTGACGAGATTTGAGACGAGATTTTTTAATAAAATTTTCATGAAAAACTTGCTGAAATGAGTGAAAATTATAAAAAAAGCGGAGTATTTCCAGGATAAAAATCCGTACAAACCCGTACAATTTGAAAAAAACGTACAATCCATACAATTTTAGGGTTACAAAACAAAAATCCGTACAATCCGTACATTTTGGCCACCCGGAAGAACGGAACGGGAATTGCTTGAAAAGAACGGTTATAATCGTTAACGCGTTCTTATTTTCAAGAACGAGTTCTAAGTTGGGAACGCGTTTTAAATCAGGAATGTGCTTCCAATTCAGATTTTCTCTGTATGTAGTGAACCGAAATTGAAAGATAGAATTATTGTAAATGACATTAGACACAATAATATAGGAAAGTAAATTTAGGTTGAAAGAAATTGTTTTCTATAATTTATTTCTATTTCTTTTTGATATTATTGAAATATTGATTATGAAAATTAATTTTTTTTTCAAAAATCTACAAATTTTATACCCCCTTTTTTAAGGTAACCCAGTTTTAATAATCGTTCTATACTAAGAACGGAACGGGAGGATGGAAACGTTCTTTGACTGAGAACGAAACGAGAGGGATGGAACCGTTCTATAAATTAGAACACTAAGAACGGAACGGAACGGGAAGACTGTTCTTCTACTCAGAACGGAACGGAATGGAACGATACAAAAAAAGGAACGAGAACGGAACGATTTAGCTGAAGGCCCTCGTTCTAGAACAAAACGGAACGATTTCAAAAGTTGGAACGTGCCCAGCCCTACTGTAAAGTATAGTACCTTGAACCTGAACCCAATCTTATACATATCTCTGTAGAGTACAGTACCTGGAGAATGAAGGATTTATCCTTGAACCTGAATCCAATCTACTCCCCTATGTCTGTATGGTATATAGTGCTTGGAGAATAAATGATTTCTCCCTGAACCTGTATCCAATCTTCTCCTCTATCTCTGTATAGTATATAGTACCTGGAGAATAAATGATTTCTACTTGAACCTGTATCCAATCTTCTCCTCTATCTCTGTATAGTATATAGTACCTGGAGAATAAATGATTTCTCCTTGAACCTGTATCCAATCTTCTCCTCTATCTCTGACACACAAAGCCTGAGATTAAAGAGTGAGTTTCCGAATATTAAAGGGCAAGCTAAAAGTTGTTACCTTTTAAGCGGGCAAAATAAAGGCAATACAGAAACCAGATTAATAATAGAAATAGTTTAACTAATGTAGTATCCAGCGTTTCGGATCCGGATCCGGTCGGATCTGTACCATTTGGTTGGATCCGGATCAGTATCAGGAAACATTGATATGGATCCGGGTAGCGCCAAAAATTAACCAAAACCATGGAATAAATAAATCAAAATGGTTCGTAAAAGTATTATTTACATGACGAAAATTTTTCGAAATTATCTTTAATAATTTAATGTTTACATTTATGAAACTAGTGAACGCATAACAAGACAATCTGCTGATATACTCAACCTGAAATCAAAAAACTCAAAACTAGAACTGAGAAGGAATTGCTTTAGTAATAGAGTTGTAAACTCGTGGAATAAATTACCACAAGATGTTAAATCCGCCAAAAATATTAATGTATTCAAAAACAAGTATGACTACTACATTAGATCCACAATGATCACTGGGATCAATTCACAAACCTAGAAGATACCATTCTTCCAGCAGATGATCATTAGTTCCTAAAAAAATCCTCTACATATTCCTAGATGGAACACTGAGGATCAACACACAAGTATCAAGTAAGTATCAATAGTAATGACGACATTTTTAACTTTATGATTACTCAGCGGCAAATGCTCACATGGCGCAAATTTCAAATATATAAAGTATTCATTTTTAAAAGATGAACGTTAAAAGTTACCTCGGATCCGCATCAAAATGATACGGATCCGAAACACTGGTAGTATCTCTAACTAATGTAGTTTGATTGCACGCACATGTATGAGAATTCCAAATAATTTTGGTTAAATAAAAGAAATTCATAACATGTTCTAAATAACTCTTCAAAAAGATAAGTTATTATTTAAAACATAACAGATTTAATTTTAAATGCAATTTACTTAAAGTTTGACGTAAAGCTTTGATTTATCCAATATCTATATTTTCCCTAAGTACATCTTGATGAATCACCTATTATATAGAGCCTGTGCTGAGCTTTGCTTCATCCTCAGATTAGCAAATGCATTTTCTTCTCCTTTAAACTCAACCAGGTTCTAAAATTATTAGGGGTACATTTTTTCAAGTGGCTTTTTGATTTTAATGATCGGGGGAAAATTGCATACCTTTCTAACGTTCATCTTTCCTTCAAGCAAGTCTGAAACATTATTCTCTGGAGTCAAGTCCAGTCCCATTCTAGCCATCACCTACAAGAAATAACGATAATATTCTCATACTCATACTCATACTCAATAACAATAACAATAACACCAATATCAATAACATTAACACCTATAACAAAAACAATTACAATAACAATAACAATAACAATAACAATAACAATAACAATAACAATAACAATAACAATAACAATAACAATAACAATAAAAATAACAATAACATTAACACCTATAACAAAAACATTAACACCTATAACAAAAACAATAACAATAACAATAACAATAACAATAACAATAACAATAACAATAACAATAACAATAACAATAACAATAACAATAAAAATAACAATAACAATAACATTAACACCTGTAACAAAACCAAAAACAATAACAATAACAATAACAATAACAATAACACCAATATCAATAACATTAACACCTATAAAAAAACAATAACAATAACAATAACAATAACAATTAACAATAACAATAACAATAACAATAACAATAACAATAACAATAACAATAACAATAACAATAACAATAACAATGACAAAACTACAATACTAACAATAATACAAAAGAACAATAACCGACACCTACCTGAAGAGTGTTTTTAGTTCCTGTATTAATGAGGTAGCATCCAATCAAAGCTTCCACAACATCAGCCAAAGATTTGTCGGAGATCAAAACATTTTCTCTAAATAAATAAAATTGTGAAATCTAATTCACAAATCAAGTAAAAAACAAAAAACTTGCCAAAGTTGTGTTTAAAAGAAAGGTACTAATTATTCGTTAATAGTTCTCACAGAACGCATCAAGATATGATCTGTAGAGTTAAGAAAATTAGAGTTTGTAAAAAATGTTGGTTCCTTAGGGAAAATCCTAATAAAATCAAATACAAAAACCTTGCCAGATTCTGAACGGAATTTTTTTAGCTTAATGTTGCGCACTTTGAACATTTCAACATTGATAATAGTTTATTAGTAGAGCGGAGGAGGGCAGGCGGCCATAATCCAAAACATTTTCCCCTTCCATACCACATATTAGCTTTTTTATCTTTCGGCAGCCATGAGCCACACCGGTAAGGTCTTCCGTTTACGTTTTCAAATGATGAATTTAGGGCCTTGACATTTCAATTTTCAAAAATCCTGCCGCATCACGCAAAAGATGATACCTTTAAGAAATTTCAGAAGTTTATTAAAGATCAATGAATAGAAAATTTTACATAATTTTACGCACTGTGGACTCCGAGACAAACTGTTTGGGGTAGTTTTTATAAAATAAGACAATATAAGACAAAACACAATAATAATGCCATTCCTGAGCGTTCCAGATTTCAACAAAAAAATTCTACTTTGCAATTTTCTTGTTTCCCAAACTTATTTAAGAGGAAAGATTGAATTTATTTTTGAGGAAAATAAGTTTAGCAGTTTACATTAGAAGGAATCATCATTATTTCAATTTAAAACTTAAATACACAGTTCTTTATATATATATCTTTTGAATGACGTCGCTGGATTTTTGAAAATCACAATTTCAATGCACGAAAACATAACTGCCGGAAGGCTCAAATTATGTGGCATGGAAAACCGTACGGTTGTGGCTCATGGCTGCCGGAAAACAAAAAAGCTAATATGTGGCATGGAAGGGGAAAATATCATGGCTTATGGCCGCCTGCCTTCCTTCGCTCATAAGTGTAATTCTTCTACTATTCCTATCTTTGGTTTGTATGTACGCTAGAGAAGGTTTATGGCGAATCAAATTGTTTGAAAAATAAACATAAAAAACTTTCTATATCTCTTTTGGAAATCTAAAAACTACAGAAAACCGCGATTTTTTTTATTAATATTGTGTATAAATGTAGGAATAAGAAAGACCTTCAAACTAAAAGTAAGAAAGTGCAGAAAGTTTTATGCTTAGTTAAAAATAAATAAACTAGACCAGATGAATAAAGTTTAAGCTCACCTGGTTTTAACACCCCCTGTTGCTTCTCCTTTTAAGAACCGTTGTTTGGCCAGGTTAAGAAGCGCATCGTCTGACAGGGCCAGCTCAGAGTACTGAATATAGTTAAGAAGGGAACCAACAGACAAGGTTGACCGTCTCCTCTCATCAGTAATCAAACTGGGAAACTTGTCGTCAAGTTCTACCAGACGTTGCTCTACAAAATATTTATTATGCGCATTAAAAAGGGACTGTCGTATTTCCAAGAGGCGCATGTTGGATTCACAAAATTGAAGAAGATGTGATCTCTCTACGAGTGACTTGAGTATTCATATTATTAATAAGTGAATCGCCCCCCCCCTTGAAATAGAAGTTTACTTCACCTTTATCATTGGATCATAAAACAATTGAGTTTTTGCCACAAACTTATATTTTCCAATCCCATGATCTTTACAACCTGATGGTGTAAACTTTTGATATTTCAAACTTCGATTCATAATTTGAAATATTTAAGGTTTACGACCTTGGGTTGGAAAAATGTGAGTTTGCTGGAAATACCTATTGAACTAGAGTATCCTGGGGGCAGGAAGGAACTGTGGCTTTCAATCTTGATCGCGTTGACCGGTCCGTTGGATAGGTTCAGCCTGCTGGCTACTCGGAATAGGTTCTTATTCCCAACTACCTAGAATAATCAATCAATCAATCAATCACTCAATCAATCAATCAATCAACCAACCAACCAACCAACCAACCAACCAATCAATCAATCAATCAAACTTTAAGCGACGCCATATGGCCATATCGCCAATCCAGACATAAATATAGAACCTAGAGTCATCTTCTTTTCAGCTGAAAATTGATTATTTTCATTTGTGGTTTAATATAGATAGTGACTTGTACGGGATACCGCAGGAAAAACAATGAAGGGAATTGTGAGAATTTAGTCCCAGAAACATGCCAGTATCAACTTGGCTTCAAGATCGTCTTTGAAATTTGACAAAAAATTTCCATGGTTATTTTTAAGCTTAATTCTTCAGGTTTAATTCAAGAGTTAATTTAATAATTATCACATAACACACCTAGTTTTGTCATTTCCAAACAGTAGTCTGCCTTTTATTATTACCTGAAAAATGAAGAGTTATGGACATCTTTCGACAAGTTTGATTTTATTTATTATAATTAACTGAAATGTGACTGAAATTCTTCATATCTCCGGTAATATTGCCACCACAAACAAGTAGACCCCATTTTGGAAACACCAGGACTAGAAGAATTTCGTAATTTTTGTTATAAGTAGGTTGACGAATAAATGCTGCAAATAACTTCATGGCACAAAGACGACCTTCAAGTCTTCTCACTACTGTCATGTTCCATGGGATACCCTAGACATGTAAAAAAACACCTCGGTACCTTTGATCTAAGCAGTGTGAGCTCTCCTTCATTTACATTCGTCTTGTTTTTAGTTTCATCTTCCAGTATACTGTAGTACACAAACATACTAGTCCTGCAGTACATTTTTTATTAGTACTACACACATACTGGTCCTGCAGTACACTTTATATTAGTACACAAACATACTAGTCCTGCAGTACATTTTATATTAGTACACACAAACTAGCCCTGCAGTACACTTTACTTTAATACACACATACTGGTCCTGCAATACATTTTAAATTAGTTAACAAACATACTGGCCCTGCAGTACATTTTATATTAGTACACACAAACTGGCCCTGCAGTACACTTAACTTTAATACACACATACTGGTCCTGCAGTACATTTTAAATTAGTTAACAAACATACTGGGCCTGCAGTACATTTTATATTAGTACACACAAACTGGTCATGCAACACACTTTACTTTAATACACACATACTGGTCCTGTAGTACATTTTATATTAGCACATACAAACTAGTCCTGCAGTACACTTTACTTTAATTCTGGAGTACACTTTATATTAGTAATCAAACATACTAGTCCTGCAGTACACTTTATATTAGTACACAAACATAATAGTCCTGCAGTACACTTTATATCTAATAGCACATTTAATACACAATTTTCCTAAAAGATTGTTTAAGATATAGCTATTAAGCAAAATTATGATTTCACTACAAAATAACTTTAAAATAAATGACCTGAACTTTAAAAACACGTCCCCGAGTACCTCCATTCTCTCCATGTTTACCATATCATCAGCATTGATCAAGGTTAGAGCCTCCACTAGGTTCACATTCTTCAGGGGCATACGCGGGTCAAACTTCATCAGCTGTTCCAGTAGCTTCCTAGATGTCAATAGTTGGCATATGCTAGCAGTTTCTTTCCGATATAGTTTTACAATACATTACAATTAACTAACCTACTCCTAGATCTAGGTCTAGAGTAAGCTCTTTGATATATAAAACAAACTAACCTACTCCTATATCTAGGTCTGTAATTAGCTCCTTGATATATACAATAAACTAACCTACTCCCTGTATCTAGGTCTAGAGTTAGCTCTTTTATATATACAATAAACTAACCTACTCCCTGTATCTAGGTCTATAGTTAGCTCCTTGATATATACAATAAACTGATCTACTTCCTGTATCTAGGTCTGTAGTTAGCTCCTTGATATATACAATAAACTAACCTACTCCCTGTATCTAGGTCTGTAGTTAGCTCCTTAATAGATACAATAATCTAACCTACTCCATGTATCTAGGTCTGTAGTTAGCTCCTTGATATATACAATAAACTAACCTACTCCCTGTATCTAGGTCTAGAGTTAGCTCCTTGATAAACAATAAACTACACTACTCCCTGTATCTAGGTCTGTAGTTAGCTCCTTAATATATACAATAAACTAACCTCCTCACTGTATCTAGGTCTAGAGTTAGCTCCTTGATATTTATACAATAAACTAACCTACTCCCTGAATCTAGTTATAGAGTTAGCTCCTTGATAGATACAATAAACTAACCTACTCCCTGTATCTTGGTCTGAAGTTAGCTCTAGACTAAGTTTTTGGTCCTCAGTATACTGAATCCCGGTCAAGTTGGAGCTTAACTGAAAAGAACCAGTTCCAAAATTTTAACAATTCTCGTCATTTTAGGAAATTTAAACCTTGACGAGAAATGTAATGACACGGTATGTACATTGTACAATGTTTAGTGTATTATGTACACTTCAGTTTAGAGGCGTACTGCAGATTTAACATAAACAACTAAGACCGTTCCTTCCATAAATTACATTGGTCGACAACTTGACGTGCCCTATATTGGTCTTCAAGTGTAAAGAGAAATTATCTATCAGATAAGAATTAAGCACGAGACATCTAGCGGCCAACATATTTAAGTACATGAACTACACGACTACTATCTATAGAGGGCTCTGCAGAGTAAGAAGACAACTTTTTGATGTTATGCTTTTTTAAACATAAACAGAAAAGAACGCAATTTTACAGTTCGCACAACCAATTTCATCTCTAGTTGATTATGAAGTTAATAGTAAAACTATTAACATTAAACAATATTAATTAAACCCAAGATTGCCTAAATGTTGTCTTCATACTCCTCAGGTGTATAGGCCCAAAAATGTAGGATATTTCCAAAATATTTTTTTTCAATTGAAATGAAAATAAGATTGAAATGAACACGACATGCTATAAATTTTTTCGAATGAAATTTTCTCTATATCTCGAAGGTTGTCGCCTTTTAAGATTAAAGATTAAATCTAAAAAGGCTTGAACCTTCTCGATAAAGAGAAAATTTCTGTTCAAAAACCTTATAACACTGCGAACCAAAATAACAGTGTTATAAATAGTTATTATTTTTGAAGAAAAGTCTAGATTTCGGGGGTACTGGTTTCCTGTGTGGCATGAAGTAATGAACTCATTCTCTGTAAAACGAATGGAACAACCTGGAAAAGCAGAAAGGTTTATTACGGGGAAAACTTTTGGTGCTATCATAATCTTTCCCAGTAAGTTTTCTTAAAGGAACTGTAAGCTTTATTTCAAGTGACCCTTCATGCAAAGAAGGCAATGCCCGATTCTAAACGGTATCCTTAAAACCATTACTTGATCAATAATGTGGAAGATATTGTCGTTTTTCTAGGTTCAAAAGTGTTTTTATATTTCTTTTATGTTTTCCCATGCAGTAGAAATGCGCAAGTCACTGTTGTAGAGAAACCACAGTTGAAAAAATCTGTTACTAAAATTATAAACATTGATATCCAACTCTTATAATGCTTTTAATGGTACCGTTCTGAGTCAAGTTTTGTCATCTTAATTCTTAGTATGTAGAATAACTTGAAATTACGCTTACAGACCCTTTCAGGGAATTCAAAGACATTTTTACAAATTATAAATATTCTCTTGTATCCCCTAATCTATTTACCTTGACCCAACACCCCTAGTGCAGAATATCTAATGTAAGTGATAATTATTCTATTATTTAGAGGAACTGTCAACGTGTTGGTTGATATCGTCGTCCGAATTATTAGTTTCTTTTACGGTTTCTTAAGAAAATAAACCTACGGATTTGTGCAGCAAAGACAAAGAAAGAAGTTCTTGAAAATTAACAATTTTCAAGAAAAAACCTGCCTTTTGCTCAGTTTAAGGTTAAATAAGTACCTCAGTGCAACGGGCAGGGGTGGTCCCTTGAATTTACATCAATGAATTAAATTTTTTAAATTTGTAATTTTACTTGAATCTGTTTCCAAAGTCCTCTGTTTATCCAGGCAATGTCAAGCAGTTCCGGGACCAGCAGGGTTCTCTTACTCAGATCCTTGATTTAAAAAAGAATATTGTTTTCATCTTCACACTAATCAAATTAGAGAAAAAGTCAAAAGTTGGGTCACTGTGCTGATGTGCAGTAAATTCAAGATATATTGAGTAGGGGCATTTTTTCAACTGCAAGAAGTTGACACATTTAAAAGTAGATGAATAGTAAACTAGAATAATTTAACTATTTCTAAAAACATTATCATTCTACATTTATATTATTTATCCTTTAACATTTATCTTATTCTAATTTTTATATTTATCTTATTTATCATCTTATATTAATCTTATTTATCATTTTACATTTATCTTATTTATTATTTTATATTTATCTTATTTATTATTTTACATTTTTCTTATTTATCTTATTTATCTTTTAACATTTTTCTCATTAATCCTTTTACATTTTTCTTATTCATCACTTTATATTTTTCGCTGGCAAGATCATAAAATCCGAACAAAAAGAACTAAAACTTCCTTTATTAAACCAGTGATAAAGGAGCCATTTCATTTGGATGAGGCTCAAAAACCGGATCAGACTAGGTTAACCAATTAATATCTTTGAATTGTGGCAAAAATGTTATCATCTAGTGGATTTCATAAGCCTTATTTTTTCACCTCTGACTACGGAAAATTAAAAGTTTTCACCTCTGACTACGGACAATTAAAAGTTTTCACCTCTGACTACGGACAATTAAAAGTTTTCACCTCTGACTACGGACAATTAAAAGTTTTCACCTCTGACTACGGACAATTAAAAGTTTTCACCTCTGACTACGGAAAATTAAAAGTTTTCACCTCTGACTACGGACAATTAAAAGTTTTCACCTCTGACTACGGACGATTAAAAGTGTTCACCTCTGACTACGGACAATTAAAAGTTTTCACCTCTGACTACGGACAATTAAAAGTTTTCACCTCTGACTACGGACAATTAAAAGTTTTCACCTCTGACTACGGACAATTAAAAGTGTTCACCTCTGACTACGGACAATTAAAAGTTTTCACCTCTGACTACGGACAATTAAAAGTTTTCACCTCTGACTACGGACAATTAGTTTTCACATCTGACTATGGACAATTTAAAGTGTTTACCTCTGAATCTTTATCCTTGATTGCCTCCCCTCCAGGTTTGAACATGAACAGCTTCTTGTCCGCACTAGAGATCCTCAGCAGGGGCTGGGTCTTATCCTACATCAGTATATTTCACCTTGAAATACTAGATATATTTATCTAAATATCCAGACTGTATTTCTTTTTGAAATACTGGATATATTTACCTGTACATCTGGACTAAATTTCTCCTTGAAATACTAAAATTTACCTGTAAGTATATATCCAGACTGTATTTCTCCTTGAAATACTAAATATATTTACATGTATATCCAGACAGTATTTCTCCTTAAAATACTAAACATTTACCTGTATATCCAGACTGTATTTCTCCTTGAAATACTGAATATATTTACCTGTATATCCAGACTGTATTTCTCCTTGAAATACTAATTATACTTACATGTATATCCAGACTGTATTTCTCCTTAAAATACTAAATATATTTACCTGTATATCCAGACTGTACTTCTCCTTGAAATACTAAATATACCTGTATATCCAGACTGTACTTCTCTTTAAAATACTGAATATAGGTGCACGGACTTTTCTTCTCATCCATTATAGATCCAGGGTTCTTATTTCTGTACATTGTGGCATGTGATAAAGATGCAGCATAAATGTACTGTACTTATACAGTGAGAACCAGAAAACTGTGGAATAGAGAGACGATATTAAAGGAATATTTGATGATGAAAAGTTTCACTAGTAACTGATGAGATCACTTATTCAGTGAGATGGGTTTGTACTGTTTACACTGTACAATTGCTGTTCATTTAACTATTAAAAGATATAACTTGAGTCTATAAGTTGTCTCCGTATTTTAGATTTTTCTGGTTCCTCCTCTATACTAAATGTATATATAGTTATTTAAAAAAAATAACATACCAAACTTCTGGTAAAAAAAATGATTTACAAAAGGGAGTGAGGAATAATTTCTCAAGAAAATTGATGACATGTGATTGACACAAACATGACAATATTCCTGATAAAGTCCTCCACGAAATAGTGCTCTGCCTCCTTCTTGTACTGGAAAAAAAAGTATATTTGCAGTTAAATCTTTTTTTTCCAGAAAACTTTTGGGTCAGGTGTGCTCAGACGCATTTAATAGATATGGAATAGAAAATTCTAGTTTATGGAAAGTAATCAACTTGCAAAATATGATGAGAATCCATCTATTTTTTATGTTTGTTTATTGCGGAACTAACAAACTGTTAAACTGACCAAGCCCATTTAAAGAAAAAATTCCTTTAAATCAACAGAATGAAGGTCGTCTTAAAGGGACAGTAAAGGAAAAATAAAAGGGGGTATAGGCTGAAAGCTTATCACTTCAGCTCTTTATCATGACCTATGAAAGTTATATCTGATGTTCTGTCTAGAGAAATTGATATAAAAATTCAGATATATACAATTTTGTATAGAAATAGTAGGTTTAAACAGATAATATTTAGCAAATATGAAACCAATCTAAACACAAAGATATCCCAGAGATACCTAATTTAAACTTAGGTTTTCTACAATTATTATTTTATAATTTTTAATTTTATCTTAAATGGATATAATTAATATCATTTTTAAGTCCGTATTACGTCACCAGATCTCCCACCAATGTTAGTGAAGTATAGTGGTTACGTGTCTCTGTCTGGATCACGTGACCAGTATACTGCAATCTATACTGCATAATTTTCAAGAGCTAAAGTGACTATCTTTTAGCCTATACCCCCTTTTCATTTGTCTATTTCAGTCCCTTTAATTTATCATCTTTTATTGAACACAAACAAACAGACAGACTTAAATTTGTAAACAGATGACTTACATAAATATGTATTAACTATTGAAATTTTAATAATTTAAAAAAAAAATTCACCTTGGGAGAAACAACAGAGTTTGACTGAATCTTCTGGTCTGATCTATCCGTGTACAAATCTAGGTTCAGTTCTCCGTTCTCCAGGGGAACCAGGAGATACGAGTTCCAGGTTGGTTCAATCCTCTCAATCTTTAGAACCTATTAAGGGACATTTTAAATGTAATTTCAAGTCACCCTTCATTGATAGAGTTCCTCTGCAGAAGTTAGTTGCACATTTTTTACTTCAGAAGCAATAGAGAAATTATTAAACACTATTTTGAGTCACAGAATTGACATGATTTCCCGCATAATTGATCATAATAAGGTTTTACGGGTGTTGTTGTATATCTGGCATGCCTCCCTATTTAATGGAAGATAACTTAAAATTACATTATTAGAGTATTCATCTAGATTTTAGAGTTTAACAGATCCTTTATTAGAGTATTCATCTAGATTCTAAAGTTATACAAATACTTTAGAGTATTCATCTAGATTCTAGAGTTTAACAGATCCTTTATTAGAGTATTCATCTAGATTATAGAGTATTGATCTAGATCCTTTATTAGAGTATTCATCTAGATTCTAGAGTATTGATATAGATCCCTTATTAGAGTATTCATCTAAATTCTAGAGTTTAACAGTTTCTTTATTTGAATATTGATCTAGATTCTAGAGTAATGATCTAGATCCTTTATTAGAGTATTCATCTAGATTCTAGAGTATTGATCTAGATCCCTATGAGTATTCATCTAAATTCTAGAGTTTAACAGTTTCTTTATTAGAGTATTGATCTAGATTCTAGAGTTTGATCCAACATTTTATACTCAGAGGCCATGAATTAAAATATGGATTGAAAAAAAAAAGTTTTTAAAGAGTTATTAAATCTTAAAACAGTAACCTTTTTCCCCCTCGGCCCCATAAATCAAAGTTGTTATGTTTTCAAAATCTTTCAAGATGGTATTTTAGTGAACCCGGCATATCAAGTTAAAATAAGCACTTCAATGTGTACAATTATAAAAAACCAGGGTCATTCCACGTCAAGTCAGCCACCTGATAGACAGCATGTCACAGATTTTGCTGAAATTTTGCATACAATTTGGGATATGAAAAAAATTCCCGGAACCCGAAGATGAGCATCCTGAGACCCCTGAGGCTGGTTATATGGCTCTGGAAAGTTTCCAATATTTTGAGATTTCGAAGACGGCCTCTATATTTCAAATGTCTCTAACTTTTTTGTTTTAGAAGATAGCTCCAAAATTTTTTCAGTTTTGAATAGGTAATCACAAGCCCCTTATTTGTCGTTAAAAGAAAAAATATCATTCAAATATTATTTACAGGTCATAATTGCATTTCTTTATTTTCAGCCTCCATTTAAGGATATGTACCAATTCCGATTGTGGTGATTTTTTAAATATATTTTTATACTGCCGTAAGGAAGGGGTTAGAAAAGTTTTTTATATGTATTTGATCCTGTTGAGGAGGAGACCTGATATTGAAATGCTAATTTAAATTTCTTAATGTAACTAAAAGGTAGTATTTCTGCTTAATTATTGTTATCTCTTCTAAACATTGATAAATATTTAATATTTGATACTTATATGTGAGTAAGTGATCTAAATTATAATAAGAGACCACTAATAGTATTTATTTCAACTATGGTACACTAAAAATGCATGTGTGTATTACTAATTTTTAAGTATTCAGTGTAGGTCTATTTTTACACCTATTAGTCTTAGGTGGGGGTCAAATTATTAATCATACCCCCACTGCTCAAAAAGACTTAGTCATACAGTGTGTTTGCATCTGAACAGATCAAAGATTTTTATAAATGACTGTACTGTATATTTGCTTTATGAGGCTATCATAATACAATTTACAGTGGAGGAATTAGTGTCAAATCCTACTAAATTTTAAGTTGTTTTTAAAAATTATGGCTGATAATAGGGCTAAATTGATATAAAAAATCAAGAAATTGCATTGATCCATTCAAATTGCACAAGAAAAATGTATCAAAATCCTTGCTAAGTGTGCTGATTAATGGAAAACACTAGATCTATCCGAATACTTCAAATATTTCAAACATAACTTTTTATAAGTAATTAGAAGATTCATTGAGTTTAATAAAATGAGAATAAATATTTATTAAAATATTTTATGATAGTTGTAAGGTGTGTATCAATTGCTCAACAGCACATCTCCTCCAGAGGATGAAATGGATATGAGATTTGGATCTAGTACTTCATCATCAAGCAAACAAGATGATGAACCTTTTATAGATGATGAGAGCAGTACAGATTAAGTAGAGGTTGTGCAGCATTTGAATAGCTGTTTAAAAGCTGTTGGAGAATCTCCTCTGAAAAGACCCAGTAAGATAACCCCAACTTATGCTAGCAGGAAGATATCCAAAATTCAAACAGTACTTCAAAAAAGCTTGACTACTGAAGGAGCAGAAATTCAGGTAAAAATTTATCCAAATATGTCTATAAGAAAACATAACAGCTTGACAATATAATCGTTTTAAGGATGAAGCTTCAGAGGTTGAAGACTATGAAGAGATCATTGAGAAACTCAAAGACAAGTTTGCCAGCACTTCCTTGAGAAGTGAAAAAATCCAGGTCCTCACAGTTACAGGATGGCCAAAACTTTTTTGAACAAAGCCGTACAAAAATCCGTACATTTTCAGAAGAAATCCGTACAATCCGTACAATTTTCGAAAAAAAATCCGTACAATTTTTTTTTTAAAAATCCGTACAATCTGCACATTTTTCTTAAACCAATCCGTACATTTTTTTAAAAATCCGTACATTTTTTTAAAAATCCGTACATTTTTTTTAAAAATCTGTACAATCAGTACAATTTTCGAAAAAAATCCCATTTTTGAAGAAAACATTAAAATTTAATTTTTCATTCATTGTCCTTTGTGTTAAGTTCATGTAAGAGGGTTTAAACTTCTTCAGCAAGAATCAATCTGTAAAAAATTGGCTTCATACATATATACAAACTAAATACTGGATACATGATACATGATACAGGGTACATGATACAGGATACAGGATACAGGATACTGGATACTGGGTACATGATACAGGATACTGGATACTGGGTACATGATACAGGATACTGGATACTGGATACTGGATACTGGATACGGGATACTGGATACGGGATACTGGATACAGAATACTGGGTACATGAAACTGGGTACATGAAACTGGGTACATGATACAGGATACTTGATACTGGATACAGGATACAGGATACTGGATACAGGATACTGGATGAAGGATACTGGATACTGGATGCAGGATACTTGATGCAGGATACTGGATGCAGGATACTGGATGCAGGATACTGGATGCAGGATACTGGATGCAGGATACTGGATGCAGGATACTGGATGCAGGATACTTGATGCAGGATATTGGATACAGTATACTGGATACAGGGTTCTGGATACAGGATACTGGATACAGGATACTGTATACAGGGTACTTGATACAGGATACAGGATACAGGATACTGGATACTGGATACTGGGTACATGATACTGGGTAAAGGATACTGGGTTACACAGGATACTGGGTACAGGATACTGAGTACAGGATACTGGAACATCTTCTTGAATAAGCAATCAAATAAGTACTTATGGAACATATTCTCAAATAAACACTTCTTGGACATATCTCGAAAATTATGAATGAGTTTTGATTGTCAATTGAAACATTAATCAATCTAATATTATTTAGAATGCAGAAAATATGTTAAACTAACTTCATTTTGACGAGAATTTTTTTTTTAAATTTCATGAAAAATTTGCTGAAATGAGTGAAAATTTAAAAAACGGTGTATTTTCCAGGATAAAAATCCGTACAATCCCTACAATTTGAAAGCAAATCCGTACAATCCGTACAATTTTAGGGTTAAAAAAAATAATCCGTACAATCCGTACATTTTGGCCACCCTGCAGTTATAGCACAAACTTGGTCTTAGAGAAAAATAGCAAGAGTCCTTGACACCTCCAGGCACATGGCAAAAATTGCTAAAAAAAATTGCAAGAGAGAAGGGAATACTTTCAGATCCCAATCCAAAGAGAGGAAAGACTACAGAAGAAGATACTGTGCAAAAAGTCGAAAGGGTTTTATCTCATTTCTATCTAATTTCTTCACTGTAATTAAGCAGAAATAATACCTATTAGTTACATTAACAAATCTAAATTAGCATTACATTATCAGGTTTCCTCCTCAACAGGAACAAATAGATATAAAAAAAACTTTTCTAACCCCTTCCTTATGGCAGTATAAAAATATATTTAAAAAAATCACCACAATCGGAATTGGTACACATCCTCAAACGGAGGCTGAAAATAAAGAAATGCAATTATGACCTGTAAATAATATTTGAATGATATTTTTTCTTTCAACGCCAAATAAGGGGCTTGTGATTACCTATTCAAAACTGAAAAAATTTTGGAGCTATCTTCTAAAACAAAAAAGTTAGAGCCATTTGAAATATAGAGGCCATCCTCGAAATCTTAAATTATCGGAAACTTTCCGGAGCCATATCTCCGGCCACGGAGGTCTCAGAACGCTCATCTTCAGGTTCCGGAATTTTTTTTCATATCCCAAATTGTATGCAAAATTTCAGCAAAATCTGTGACATGCCGTCCATAGGTGGTTGACTTGACATGGAATGACCCACCATTTTAAATAGGAAGACAAGGTCTAAAATACGATGCAATGCAATTAAAAACATAATTTTTAGATTTGGTTGAATCCTAAGTATTCTATTACCTCTGAAAATGCGTAGTTATGAAAGTCCCTTGCGGTCAATAATTCATCCTCAGATATTTCCACTTTCTTCAGAAAACTAGAAACACGAACTTCATGATACAGGGGTATCCATTATCCACAAATGATGACTTAAATCTCATTAAGTTTTATGATCTTTTCCTTTTTATAACTTGATAAGGCAGAATTTTCAATAGAATGAAAAATTTACATGACCACGCCTGGTAATTCAGCTAGTATAAATAAAAATTATGGGAAGGGGAACAGAGAGTTACTGACGATGCACATGAGAGGAAATATATTACTTGATGTTGACCCTGAGAGTTTCAGAGGTTTTATGGGGGAGATGTATTACCTGACATTAACCCTGAGAGTTTCTGAGGATCCGTATTGGAGGAGATACATTACCTGACGTCAACCCTAAGAGTTCCTGAGAGTCTGTATAGGAGGAGATACATTACCTGACGTCAACCCTAGGAGTTCTTGAGAGTCTGTATAGGAGGAGATATATTACCTAACGTCAACCCTAAGAGTTCCTGAGAGTCTGTATAGGAGGAGATACATTACCTGACGTCAACCCTAAGAGTTCTTGACAGTCTGTATAGGAGGAGATATATTACCTAACGTCAACCCTAAGAGTTCCTGAGAGTCTGTATAGGAGGAGATATATTACCTGACGTCCACCCTAAGAGATCCTGAGTCTGTATAAGAGGAGATATATTACCTGACGTCGACCCTAAGAGTTCCTGAGGATCCGTAAAGGTTAAGAGGACCAAACCCCGGGATTCTTTCCTGTACCAGGATACCTAGACAGGGGCATTTATTAAGAAAATTACTTTAAAAAAATTGAGTGGTGGATGATAGCTTAACAATTTATATGAACTGAGCTAATAACTCTTGTATTGGATACACACAATCCAGATTGCTAAGTCTTAATATCCACTGTCGACACTTTTGACTTTCTCCTTAGTCCTCTATTTTGAATGTCTCTGTTCGTTTCCGGACCAATGAGAGTTCTCTCATTGCTTACGCGCCACAATTTTGAAATGTCTTGGCTTCTGATTGGCTGTTAGATTTCTACAATCAACTCTGGCAATTTTTCCCCCTGTTCTAAGGTTTTTACCAAATGGTTAATTTATCCAGGTATAAAAAACAACCTAGAGATAAAGTATCCTGTTGGGGAAAGTAAGGTAAATATCTCTGATTCTCCAACTCTTCGATCAGCTTCATTCTAACCTAGAAACACACATCTCAGCTTATAAATTGGTCATGCATTAACAAATGGTAAATCGTTTAATCTTGAAATTATTAACGAACGAAAATAACCATTCAAGAAAAATACAGACGGCTTTCCTTATTTTTTTCTGCTTAAGATTGCATGAAAATTCATCAAAGTTTTTTTTTAATTAGTGTTCTCAAAAAAGAATTTTATCACGAGTTTTGATGTTTTTGTTAATGAAATTTTTATATGAAATAATTGTAGAACAGTATAATTATTGTAAGTGTAACCATTATGGCAAGTGTAACATATGGCAAATGTAACTTTTGGCAAACGTATTATGGCAAGTATAATTATGACAAATGCCTTATACGACTTCTGAAATATCTTTCGTTAACATCGTTGATAAGAATAAATTGTTAACCAACAGCAAAGAGCAGAAAATGATGTGAACGGAATGGAAAATTCAATTCTAAGTCAAGATGGAACTGAAATCTGCTACGTTTAAGAACACATGGAAAAAAGCCTGAAAATGCTCAGCTCCAAGCTGAACAACATTTGATAGAAAGAGTAATCTTTCTGAGAGGAGAGAGTTAGTTTAACTTATTTAAAAGTTAATAGCTCAATTAAATCAATTTTAACTTGAATTAGAAAATCACATTGACCTAAAGTACAATAAAAAAAATCGAATTTCTTCAAGTAAAAAAGAAGTCATGTAATGTTGTTTCAGATTTTTAAAATAATGAAAATATTTTGTTGAACAGGCATTTATAACTCAAGGAATAAATTAACCTGATAAAGGAACCCCTGTTTGGTGAAGGCCAGGTTTAAAGGTCGTGGCAACCTCTGTGCGTAAAAATGCCGTCGCCTTCGTGTCCCCTCCTTCCGTCCTCTCTCGTCCTCATTGTCCTCGTCTTCCTCGTCCAGGACACGCTCACGCTTCCGTGGTTTCAATCGAATCGTCAGCTCTCCACACTCATACAGCATTCTGAGTATATTAGAAACGTTCATTACATATCGTCTTCAATTGACGCAAAAACGACAAAAATGGAATACTTTAGCAAGAGAACCCAGACAGAAATATATTTTCAATAAATGTGGAACTAACATCTACTTTTTTACTATACAGAGGTTTGGTCCATCACCATCACCGAGTTTTTTATAAGAACAAGTACACACGTAAACATGTTTTTATTCTATCCGTGTTAATAAACAGTAAACACATATCAATATCCAGGAGTAAATGTTGTAGAATTGATGAAGGAGACTGACAGGTTCAAGGATTCCAGTTTGTTGGTTCCCGGATTTTTCTCAAAATTATAGAACTTTCCTTTCTTTCACATACACCCAAATTCAGGCACGGATACCGGGAGGNAGAGACTGTCTTAAGAGTTTACGGTAGATTTTAAGTTTTAACCAAATTTGTAAGTAATTGAATAAGATTCTTTCCTATCTTAAAAATTAAGCTTATCATGATTTCAGCGTTGAAACACGTTAAGAGTTTTTAGTAACATTATAGCGACACCAAAACAAAATTTGGTGACATTTTTCAGAAATTGTACAGTTCAGCAAAATGAAATAAAATGTTCACAAAAATCAGAAATGGATACCAGAAATGAAATGAGTTGCAATGATAAAAAATGTAAAAAAAAAACACTATAACAAATAAAAAATAAAAATTTTAAACATTCAATACGTGGGTAATTTTGACACTGGGTTGTTTTCCTGAATTAAAATAAATTGAAAAAAGATAAAATCATTGAAATTTGACCGATTAAAAGCTAAAAAATAACACATTTTTTAAGTAATAAAAAATGTTTAGAGAGAGAGAAATATCTTTTTTTGGCCATAGCTCGCGCAATTTTTATATTTTTGAACTCGCAAACTTTATTAATAAAAATGTATTTTAAAATTGTGCCTTAAAGTTTCAAGAAGAATACAATTTTGCTTCTAAAAATGATTTCATAAACTTCCACCCTATTGCACGCGTACCCTTAAATGATAGTATTTGGTAAAAAAGTTTTTATTTTCTAAAATGAGATATTCTCCACCTAATTTACTTGCCATCCTTTTCTATGTCAATATTGTTCTTGCCTGAGTTGCCTGAACAAATATTTGAAAGTACAGTTCTAAGCTGACAATATTTTTACATATATTTAGAGTAATATGCTATTTTAAGCGCTTAAAATACTCACTCTCAATGCTAGTTCCTTAAAAAAAAAATTGCGGGCCCTCTGTACCCCCTCCTTACTCACAAGTTTCGCTCAGTGCTCCCCCCCCCCCATTCACCGGTTTTATTCCCCCTTTTTAAAATAGCTGGATCCGCCCCTGCTCAAATTATTGCTGCTACACACTAATATCTATCATGTTTTAAAACCCCTTAGATAAATTTTCCAAATCATATATAGTCAAGATGTGTGTAACGACTGTCAAAACACAAAGTTTAACACATTGAAGAGTTCCTCTCTATGAAAAATATTCATGAATTACATCAAATTTACAAGATAATTCAGCCTCAAGATTGTTATAATTCTAAAGTTTCAGGTCGACATGAAAGTCAGAGTATATTTTTAAATAAAATGAAACTTCTCTAACTGCAAATGTGTAAAAGGAAGACGACATTTAAAGAGAGAAAAGCGTGATTTCAAATGACTCAAAATGCATCGATGGCAATATTAAATAAATTGTCGTATTCCTAGACTTAAAAGGGTTAATTTCTGAAAATTCCTGTATATTTTCTTTCAGATAAATGCGCAAGTCACTTTTGAAGAGAAATCACAATTGAAAATAATCAGTTTTCCCAATATTAACTTAGATATCTAATTCATACTTGATCAGACTTTTTAGGTGAAAGGGGTGAGTGTGTACACTGCACATTTTCTATTATGTGTGTTCATCGGACTTAGTTTCTATTTTGATTTAACACTTGTGTTCCTTTTCCAAATATTAAAAGCTCTACATTGACATACCTGACAACTTCCAATGCACATGATCTTTTAGCGCGCTCTTTTGAAGGTCGAATGTGGCCTGAAAAAAAATCGTGTTGTTATCTTTTAATTATAAATGGATTATACATTTTTAACTGGATTTAGCTGAAAAAAAGCATAAGGGATCCGGAATGGAAAAAAGCAGAATGAATCTAGGATGAAAAAAGCAGAATGGATATGTGGGATGGAAAAAAAGTACAGGATCTAGGATGGAAAAAAGCAGAATGGATCTACAAGGGAAAAAGCAGAATGGATATAAGATGGAACAAAACAGAATGTATCTAGGATGGAAAAAAATCAGAATGTATCCAGGATGGAAAAAAAAACGGAATGGATCTAGGATGGAAAAAAAGCAGAATGGATCGAATGTGAAAAAAAGCAGATTAATGAATTTACCTTCGATAGGATCGACGAATGGTGTCTTATGTGGCATATAACAGATAGTTCTATATCCTGAAGTGGGAGTATTTAGCATCAATCCTCGTAGCAACTTATCCTAATAAACATTTTAAATTAAACAATGTAATCAATAACAAAATATTTTCATTTGTTAGTTTTAAAAAGAGAAAAATTCTGTCAATATATCCTTTTATATTCTGCTGCATGAATCCACCAATCATGTTATCATCTAAATTTGCTGATGATACTAAAGTTGGTATGCCTGTTAACAATGAAACTGATTCTATAGTTCTACAAAATGTTATAAATACTCTCTGTGACTGGTCTGATGATCTGTCAATGAAATTAAATTCTGGAAAGTGTGAAGTGATGCATGTTGGTGGGAGAAATAATCATTTCACCTACACAATGCATGGTTTTGCTCCCGGTGGTACAGTGTTGGAGTCTGTAGATGAGGAGAAGGATGTAGGAGTGAAGATTTCTAATACATTGAAACCTTCAAGTCAATGTCAAGCTGCAGCATTGAAAGCAAACCAAATAGTAGGACAAATGTCTTTTACATACCGAGACAAATACAATTGGATAAGACTGTACAAAGTTTATGTGAGACCTAATCTAGAATATGCTGTCCAAGCATGGTCACCCTGGAACCAGAAGGATATTGACCTCCTTGAGGATGTCCAGAAAAGAGTTGTGAGAATGACAGCCGGACTGAAGCCAGGAAAGGTGTCCATGACCCTATATGCTTTTAAAAAAATGATGAGCATAGAAATGCAGCCATGGATCTAGAAGAATAAATGATGACCTGACCCGCCACTTCATTCTTGCATGATGCAGGACCTTGGCGGTGAAACTATCAACGTATCAACGTATCAACGTATGCTTTCAGATAAAAAAGCAAGAACATTTTCAACAAATATTTTCATTAAAGTGCTTCCATACAAGGGCGTATACAGAAATAAATGTAGGGGGGGGCAAGATTTGCGCGAAGCGCAAAATTTTTTTTTGCCCCCCGCTAGGAGCTCCTAGGGGGGGGCAAAATTCGAACTGTAAATTCATAACACTTGGCTTCTTGGATATCAGGCATAAGTATAAGATACTTAAAAGGCACACATACAGTCCAAATAATTACCTTCTAAGCATTGTTTCTAAAAAATCGACATTTTATTATACTTTTACAGGTATATTTAGTATTTAAACTAGAGATAGTAAAAGACATTTTTGAAAATAAAAACTTAACTTAAACTTAAATTCTATGAGATGAAAAGAAGTACAAAGGTCCAGAAAATAATTATGACTTGTAAAAGTTTCTGTTGTGAAAAAAAGTAGGAGTACAATTGCTGCAATCTAAGAATGAATGATAACTCAAGGCTTATAAATAACAGTATTTGATTCATGATAATTATTAATCAGCAATTTACAGATACCAGTCACAACGGCAACTTTTAACAGACTCACATCACTACTAAACAAGACTAGCATATAATGTAAAGTGTGTGAGCTGTACAAATGTATGCAGACTGTGTGTTCTCTGAACCCAACTAAACTCTGTGTACTCTGTGAACTTAAAAGTTAAAATTAGGTTAGGTTGGTTAGGTTAACTTGGTTACAGCATGAGCACTGCACTGTAATTATATATATTTTAAAATTTTGTTTTTTTTATAATAATCATGAAAAGCAAACTTATTTTTTTTGATTTCTTCACTTTTCAGTTAAGATTTGAAAAGTGTGAAAGGCTTGCAGAATTCTAGGGGGGGGGCTACGCCCCCCCCTTTACAAGTCTAGGGGGGGCACTGCCCCCCATGCCCCCCCCTGTATACGCCCTTGCTTCCATATTAAAAAAATTGGGTGACCTGGTTTGACCCCTGGACCTCTACAGTTCTCCAGGCAGGTACAAGGCGAGTAAATCGGTCAACTGGTATCTTAGAGATATACTGGTACACTAGTGCAATTGCCTAAACAGTCAAGTATTATGACATTTGATTATTTAAACTTTTTCATTATGATTTATTTTTATTTCAGAAATAATTTATTTCAGTAGAAATGGGAATTTTTATGCTGGCAACAAGCTTTGTAAGAATCAGAGATGGTTTATCATAATTTTAAAATTGTATGTATTATAAATAGCTTTGCTTTTATCAAGAAGTGATGCTTTCCCATGTAAGACCCACCTGACCCGTATTGATTGTTTTACCTGGCTTCCCGTGACTGTACCACTTTTCTCCGGCTGGTTGGGGTCGAAGGGTACTGTGTAACTCTCAGTTTCATCTTCCTCAAGCTCCTGGGAAATAATAAAAAATTTGAAGTATATAGTGATCACCAGAAAAAAATTGAATGATTGTTGTCGTCTTTCTTTCCATTTTTTAAGAATTACAGGATTTTAGTCATAAGGGAGGGGAGTACTAAAAAAATCGCGGACAAAAAACGTGTTTATCCCATTCCCCCTGAAATACTGCAATTCACACCCCGCCTTGTTTTGCTATGTAACGTGCAATTTACAACAAAAGGCATTCTTATTTTATTACCCCTTTATTGTGTTGCAATACTGCATCTACCCCCTCTTGCAATAATTTATTTTCATAAACTTATCAAGGAGCGCCAAAACATGTTTTTAATTCCTTCTGTAAACACGATTTAAAGGAGCCAAAAGTAAAAGTGTAATGTATCTGTCCAGCTCAGTTACATTTCCTATAGTTAAACTTCATATAATTACAATTCAAATAATTACACTTCATAATATTACACTTTCCTTTAAGTTACATTTCCTATGAGGTTACATTTCCTGTAAAGTTACACTTCCTATAATTACATTTCCTACATTACATTCCATGAAGGAAGCACAATTACATGATTTTGGAATATTTGGATTTACCCTCTGTGTCTCTCACAATATAGCAATCTTTAATTTAATTTTGCTACGCATGCCACATAGTGTATTCGACTTTTGAATGCTTGTTTTGTTGGCCCTAGCGTTGAAAAGTTACAAACACGCTAGTCTTGAAATTCATTTGGGCGCTTGTGAACACCTTAACCCTATTTATCCTGACGTCTGCTTTCATAACTGGTTCCCGGGGTGGGGGGGGGGGTTCAGGGTCAAATGCCCCCTTCATTTTTATTACAAATCTATAACAATTGATAAGTTTTTGGAAAGCCCTTGGGCTCTACTTCAATAATCTGCAAAAAAAATGGCAAATTTGCAAAAATCCAAATATTTATTGCGAAATTTAGTTAAGCAAGAAATCAGTGTTTCGGATCCGTATCATTTTGATACGGATCCGGATCCGAGGTAACTTTTGATACTGTGAATACTATATATTTGAAATTTGCGCCATGTGAGCATTTGCCGCTGAGTAATCCTAAAGTTAAAAATGTCGTCATTACTATTATATAAATGTAAACATTAAATTATTAAAGATAATTTTGAAAAATTTTCGTCATGTAAATAATACATTTACAAACCATTTTGATTTATATATTCCATGGTTTTGGTTAATTTTTGGCGCTACCCGGATCCATATCAACGTTTCCTGATACGGATCCGGATCCGACCAAATGATACGGATCCGACCGGATCCGGATCCGAAACGCTGCAAGAAATGAACACAAAAAATTGCGCAAATTGCAACAAATTATACATTTTTGAAAAGCCGACCCAGCCAATTCAAATGTGCAAAAAAATTACAACATTATTATAACCTATTTTGGAAGACGATGCCTGGCTGTGTTAAACAAGTTCCACAAGATTCAACAGAATGGGATAGAACAGATGCGGGGCATAGGACTAATAAACATCTACACGTGTGATATCGATATTTACTCTAGTTCTGAACCGTCTAGTAATAAGTTATAAGAAATATATATATAAGCTTTGAACATTAAGTGATACATCCGAGCATCATGACGGACCAGAAAGAAACTCCAACCGAGTACGTACGCTCAAATCACACAGTCTAAAATCAAATTCCATCACATCGTCCAGAAGCTTCCCCAGAAGATTATGGTCTCGGTATGCGGCCTGATCATGGGTTCTGCTGCCTCCTCAGAAACCCCTTATGAGGATTTAAAGGCCAAGCTTGTCTCCTCGTATACTCTATCACGCTGGCAGAAGGTTTCCAAACTAATTCATCACCCTGGGCTGGGAGACTGCCGCCCTACTGCTCTCATGGATGCCATGTATGCCCTTCTCCCAGAGGATGAGAAACCAGGTTGCCTGTTCCAAGGTTTATTTCTGGAGAGGTTGCACGTCGAGATGAGGGACCATCTAGTCTCCAGGGAATTCAAAAACCCTAGTGAAATGGCGTTATAAGCCGATAGTTTGTGGGACGCCAGGAAAGCTATACCTACTGATCACTTCCTAGCCGCAGCGTCAACCACATCATCTTCCCCATCACGTGGTAGAGCTCAGGACGGCAGAAGCCGATCACCACACCACCGTAGTCAAACCCCAGGTCCGTCAAACTCTGAGTGTTATTTCCACAAACGTTTTGGTCCTGCAGCCAATAATTGTCGCCCTACTTGCAGTTTCCAGGGAAACGCCAGAGCCAACGGAGGAGGAAAAATTAAACAGCCTTCCCGTCCGTGGTTATCTTGTATACCTTCAAGATGCCCTGTCAAACAGTATTTAGTTGACACTGGAGCTTCAAGATCTGTGTTTTCCCATAGTTCCTCAGCTGCACCGACAGGCCGCCTCCTAATGGCTGATGGATGGCCAACTAAAGCTTTGGGTTCCAGATTAATTCCTCTCCAGTTTTGTTCCAACCGTTTCCAGTTCCAGTTCCTCCTCGCCGACGTGGACCAACCAATCCTGGGAGCAGACTTCCTGCCAGAAATTGACCTCCTTGTCAACACCAAGAACCGCCAAGTTCTTCAAAATCTCTCCTTTGAACCTCTTGCACCGCCTAGGTTTCCTCCCACCGATTCCTCCGTTGCCTCTTTGTGTAAACTCGCCCCTGATGTTGCCTCTCACCTAGATGAGTTCCCTGCAGACTGGAATCCACGAACACCTGGTAAACTCCCTGATCACAACGTTGAGCATGTGATTGAAACAGAAGGGAAACCGTTATATGCTCACCCCTGCCGTTTGGATCAAGTTAAGTTAGCACAAGCTAAAGCTAAGTTTCAAAAAATTAGAATAAGGGGGGGATTTTCCGTCGTTCCGATAGTCCTTGGGCCTCACCTCTACATATGGTTCAAAAATCTGATGGATCCTGGCATCCTTGCAGCGATTACCGCCGTTTAAACAATTTTACCAGACCAGACCGGTATCCTCTCCTTAACATTCGTGATTTTACAAACAATTTAAGAGGTTGAAAGTTTTTCTCCAAACTTGACCTAGTGAAGGGTTACAATCAGGTTCCCATGAGTGCGGCAGATATTTGTTAAAACCGCCATTGTGACTCCATTTGGATTGTTTGAGTTTTTATATATGCCGTTTGGACTGAAAAATGCGAAGATTTCAACGCTTGATAGACTAGAGGATTACCCTTTGTTTTCATCTACTTGCATGACGTCCTGATTGCCAGTCAGACCAGGAAACTCCACATCGAGCATCTCCGGGTAGTCCTAGAGCTCCTGGTTCAGAACGAATTAGTGATCTCCGCCATACACCTGGAGCTGCAAATATAGTGGCTGACAATCTCTCCCGTCCTCCTCCAAACCTCCACCAAAATCTTCCCCTGCTCCACAGCTGCCCCCTTCCCCTGGAGTTGAGGTGTCTGAGGTGTCAGTTTCAACAACTCCATCACCTTTTCCAACTTCTTCAGTGATAAATTTTTCAGAATTAGCCAAAGAACGGCTGTCCTGCCCTGATATACTCTGCCTAAAGGTTTCCCCCACCCTCCGCCTCGTAACTGTTCCAGTACAGGATGGTTCTCTGCTCTGTGACAAAAAGACAAAGGTTCTTCCGCCCCTTGGTACCATCTTCTCAAAGGTTTAACATTTTCTCCACCTTACATGGAATATCACATCCTGGAGTTTGTACATCCAGAAGTCTTATTTCTACAAGGTTTGTCTGGAGGGGCTTAGCCAACGAAGTCCGTGACTGGTGCAAGTCCTGCCTGCAGTGCCAATGAGGAAAAGTCCTCCGCCATGTTCACATTCGCCCTGAAAAGATTCCTGTACCCTTCAGAAGATTTGCTTATGTGCATGTAGACCTTGTTTGTCCCTTACCCTCATCTCATGGTTTTACATACCTCTTCACATGCATCGACAGATCAACAAGATGGCCTGAGGCTATACCTCTAACTGGGATTTCTGCGGCGGAGTGTGCCTCAACCATGTTCCATGGATGGATCTCAAGGTTTGGCGTACCTGCAGTGATTACAAGTGACAGAGGAGCCCAGTTCACTTCATCCCTATAGTCCGCCATCTGCTCCCTACTCAAGATCAAGCACAAAACCACCACAGCCTTCTGCTCTCAGTCCAATGGCATGGTGGAAATGTTCCACAGGCAGTTTTAAGAATTCCCTATGTGCTCTTCTTGCCTCCTCCAATTGGTTTGAACACCTACCATGGGTTCTATTAGGTTTATGTACATCTCCCAGAGAAGACTCCCCCACATCCGCCTCTGAAGCTGTTTATGGTTCCGAGTTAACCCTGCCTGGCCAGTTCCTAGAAGTACAAGATCCTCCAACAAATCTGTTCTATGAAAACCTTAAAAATTCATTGTCTGGTTTTCAACCTGTTCTGCCTCGTCATAATACTCCTGCAGCTGACACTTCCAGAAGTTATTCCTGCAGATTTCACATCTTCCCCAATGGTTTTTATACGAAAGGATAGACATGTTGCTCCTCTAGCCCCCCTCTACGAAGGTCCTTACAAGGTTTTAGCCCGCTCCCTTAAAACCTTTCAGCTACAAGTTGGCAAGAGAGTAGATGTGGTTTCAGTTCGACGCCTCAAACCAGCTTTCACATCAGATGATGAGGCTCCAGTAGAACCTCCACGCTGGGGCACACCCCACGCCCACCTCGAAAAGTTGTTGCAGAATCCTCCGACATTACTCCGCCAAAGAGGAAAAGAGTAACTTCTAACCTAAAACCAAAGATTTTACACCAAAGGCTTCTACATTAAAAGAGTTTTTATCACTAGCCTCCGCCTTCATTCTCTGCCTTCAGCCTCCAACTTCATCCTCAAGCCTCTCCACTGGGGGGATGTGGAAGATCCACAAGATTCTACAGAATGGGATAGAACAGATTTGGGGCATAGAACTGATAAACATCTACACGTGTGATATTGATATTTACTCTAGTTCTGAACCCTCTAGTAATAAGTTATAAGAAATATATATACTGAAAGTTATTTATGCATTTTCATTAGAGTCTGACTCATGTCCTCTATACTATATGTGTATTCAAGAAACACTGAAACGTCTGTGCAAAAATATTTGCAAACTTTCTTTCTGAAAATTGTGCAATCTGGTTGCTTTGTTATATTTTTTTTCAAAAAGCTTTGTTAAAATCCAATGACTTGAAGGTCTAAATATAAATGTAGTCTGGTATTTAGGCAGTATGCCTGAGGACTCAGGCAGTAGGTATAAAAGGGCATGTGTTAAGTTAAAAAAGTCAGAAAATTTGAGTTTCCTAGCAAAAATTCTTTTTGAGTTAACACAAATAAATAAATAAGTTTAAGGGATAAAAGGCGAAATTTAAAAAGATGCAAATTCACACATATTACTATTAAAATAAACAATTCAATCATTCTTTATATGAAAAAAACAGATATCTTTGTAACCCTTGAGCACTTGATAGTATGTCTACAGTCCAGCTATGATGATGATTGATAAAAACGTACCATTGTTTCTGGCATACTATGGCACTCTTCCAGGGAAATCCGTTCAACCTGAAAATAATTGAATGCAATAAGAAATAGAAATAAGAAATAAGAAATAAGAAATAAGAAATAAGAACTAAGAACTAAGAACTAAGAACAAAGAACAAAGAACAAAGAACAAAGAACAAAGAACAAGAACAAAGAACAAAGAACAAAGAACAAAGAACAAAGAACTAAGAACTAAGAACTAAGAACTGAGAACTAAGAACTGAGAACTAAGAACTAAGAAATAAGAAATAAGAACAAAATCTGAAAGGCAACCCGAGGCTCGGTCTCATTATGCCTTATTCGCGAATGCCTAGATTTTATAATGCCTAGATAACATTAAAATGAATTCAATACCTCTATACAGTATACACATATTCATGCAAGAAAGTTTACTTACAGTCTTCCATACAGAGCCATTCCAAACATAATTGAAGTTGTATTTGTTCCTCAATCCGTCAAATCCCTTTCTTGACCTAGCTTTGAATGAAGTTGCACATTTTCAGAAAGTTGATTGCGGATTTTTGTAGAAATGTTTCTGGATTGTATGTTTTATTTCACTCATTAATATGTTTATGTAGTTAAAATACATTATCTAGGCATTCAATGCACTCTAATGTTATCTAGACATAATGTTATCAACGCATGCTTATGTTTTCTAAGCATGATATTATTTAGGCATTGTGTTATCTATTCTAGGCATTATGTAGGCATAATGATGTTGACTTAGGCATTCATTGACTAGGCATTCACTAACTAGGCAATATTTAGACCGCAATATTTAACCCCGGTACAATAGAGATACACAATAACACCCCGGGAGATTGTGGACAAGCATATTAAAAGAAACTATATGCATTTGCCTTATGGTTAAGCATTATCACAATACTTTTGAAATTTGATGAAAAATACCTTTCATTTATTTTTGTTTTTCATTTAAGAATTATACATTTTTTTCTAGCTAGATATGCATGCGTACTAAAAGTGCTGATGAGAAGCACCCACAATTTTAACCAGTGCTTAGGATTCGGATCCGGATCTGTTGGATGCGCAAGATCCATGAAGCCAAACTTCATGGATCCGGATTCGCAAAAATATGCGGATTCACAGATCCGGATCCTAGGGGTAAAATATCAACCAAAATCTGAAAAAAAACTTTTTTAACTCCTAAAACCCAAATCTAAACTTTCAAAAAAAAAGATATTATAAAAATTTCCTCATAAATAAATGGTTCATCAAGTTTTAGGATAAAAATAAGCGAAAAAAAAATAAAACGAAATGATTTAGTAAATCTTAAAAAAATGACCTTGATCCATTTTATCCAGTGCGGAAAATGGATCCTAAGCACTGAATTTACCTCTTGGAATTCTCTGTGTTTTTGCACGTGCTTCCCACTGTTTGTTTCCGTCATCATTATATATTTACTTGGTCTCAGCCGGGCTCTTCCTTTACTCTAATGGTTTAAAATAGTTTAAGATGGTTTAAGATGGTTTATGATGGTTTAATATGGCTTAAGATGGTTTAAGATGGCTTAAGATGGTTTAAGATTGTCTCAAGATGGCTTCAGATGGCTTAAGATGGTTTGAGATGGTTTAAGATGGTTTAAGATGGTTTAGGATGGTTTAAGATGATTTAAGATGGTTTAAGATGGTTTAAGATGATTTAAGGTGATTTAAGATTGTTAAAGATGGTTAAAGATGGTTTAAAAGAGATCGTTTAAAAGGGATTTAGAAGGTTTCTTATTTAAGATGACTTAGAGTAAGTCTTAGGATGTAAAAGATGTTAAAAGATGCCATGGAATGTTATGAAAGGTTGTAAATTGTAATATGTTTAAAGATGCCTTTAGATTCCTCAGGATGTCTTAGGATTTCAAAGGCGCCATAAGATGCCATAAGATGACATAAGATGTCATAAGATGTTATAATAAGTTAAACATATGATATCATAAGATGATGTTAGATTTTGTAAGATGGTGTAAGATGTCTTAGGATTTCATAGGAGCCATAATGTCACAAGATGTTTTAAGAAGCTATTATAGGACATCATGAGATTACGCCCTAAACGGTTAAGTTTGAAACAATGGTCCAAAGACACACCCGGACAAGAATGAGACTGTAAAGACGACCTGAAACTCTATATATGACTATAACAACATTAGATTAAGTTCTTTACCTTGAATGTACTCTTTTAATGGCTATTAGGTACTTTCCCAAAGACATTTTCTCATGGGCGATTTCCCAAAAGACAATTTCCCAAGTGATGACTTCCCAAGTGGCAACTTCCCAACTGTGCAATTTCCCAAGCAGCAACTTCCCAAAGGTTAGATCATCTGAGGCGCCGCAGGCTGCAATTGGGGCCGAGTGCTGCGGCTAGAACTGACTTGGGAAATTGCCACATCTGAAATTGCACATTTGGGAAGTTGCCATTTTGGAAACTACCCTTGGGATGTTACCGCTTGGGAAAAATCTTTCAAAGAAAGAAACAAGTTTTAAATTGCAGGGAATCATGATTAGATGGGAACAGACAATATTAATTCCGTACCGACGTCTCTGAAGTCTCATTCTTTTTGGGTAACCCTGTGTTTATGTACCTGAACGTAGCTCCTGAATGTGAGAGGGAAGTCGTATTTGATGACAAGGTTACATTTCTGCACATCAAGTCCTTCCTCGACAACACTGGTGGAGATCAGAAGGTTCAGTTCTCCCTTGCGGAACTTACCCAGCACTTGTTCAAGTCTTCGGCTTAAGAAATAGAATTGCATTGCTTAATAATTTGCTTTAAAATTTAGGTTTACTAGGTTTCTGGACGCTTCTCTTCCATCTTTTATATAAAAAAAATCTTAGTTTTCTGTTGCTGAGCTTTTAGTGAGCCTGTTTCGTTTGGGGTGGATTTCCCAAACAATCAATAATCTTAAGATTTTTTTTTGACCGGCCATAATTTTGTCAAGGCTTTTATTTGCTTGACAAGTGAATTGGAGGGAAAAATGATTTGACTAAAAAGTTTGGAAGATGACGGAAAAAACTATCTTTTGAGGTTCAGTTTTTTTTCTTCCCCCAGATCTTCAAAAATCACGCCCCCCCCCCCCTTCTCCCTTAACACTCCTGAATTATCTGCAATTCTTTATTTCAGTAAGTCTTTCAAAATTCTGCCTTGGCATCAAAAAGTCAAAACTTTTTACAAATAAAAAAAATCAAAGAAGTTTTAAATACTTTTAAGATTAATTTAATTTTGATGCGGATCAGAATCCGTATCCTGGATCTGTACTGAAAAAAAATTTATCCGGACACGGATCAAGGTCATGAACATAACGTTTTTTAAAAGATTTATTTATTATCTTAACAGAAGAAAAAAATTTAAAATCATTTCCTTCTTTTTATTATTTTGCTTTCATATGCTACAACTTAATGAACCATTAAGAGATGAGAAAATCTCTCTTTTTTTCAACAGTTCAAATTTGGGTTTTGAAAGCATAAGATATTTGTTTGCAGTTTTTGGATGATAATTTGCGGCTTTGCCCCTTGGACCCAGATCTGTGGATCCAGATCCAGGAAGCCAGTGTTGCGGACACCATGGATCTGGATCCGGATCCTAAGCACTTGAATTGAAAAAAAATGTATCTCACCTTTCTGAAGATATTTGTTTCCGATCCTGATAGTTCTTCACATTCAGTCCAGTGGTTACTGCGTGGACGTAGTCGACATTCAACTCTGAAAACTCAGGCTCTAAAATAATATAAATTATAATATATGGTGTATTACCTACTTTAGCATGTAGTTTTCTTGAAAAAATAACTGAACAAATCTCCTGGTTTTGGAATTTCCAAAATGTGGTCTACCTTTTTGTACTATCAAAATTAACGGAGATAGTATAGCTAAATCAAAAGGCGGACCACATTTTGGAAATGGCAGGACTAGAGGTATCTTGAGAATGTAAAATCCAGGAATTTTATATTTTCCCCCCAATTTTGACCATAACAATATTGGATATGCTAAAAGAGAGGCCGCCTAACCTCTCTAATTGCAACAATGCTAATAGCCAGCTTTTATAAAATATCTATATGAAACTAGTATACAGGGTTACCCAAAAAGGATGAGACTGTAAAGACGATCCGAAACTCTTTCAATATGACGTTCCCAAAGTCTTCTGCCTTGAATATAGTCTTGTAATGGCATATAAAATGATTTGTCAAAGGAAAAAACAAGTTTAAAGTTGCAGGGAATCGTGAATATAAGGGATTTGCCATTTTCTGTTGTGCGCATATGCCCCATAAAATTCCAAAACAGACAGGAGGATTGAATTTTGTAGATCCAAAAAATAATTAAATTAGTATTTATTTAGGGTTAGGTTAGGTTAAGACACTTTCTGGGCCGAGCGCTGCGGCTAGGACAGGCTAGGGAGCCGAGCGATGCGACCACGGGTTAGGTTAAGCTATGACACTTTCTGGGCCGAGTGCTGCGACCACATGTCTTAAATTTAAGACCCCACCAGCTGCCAGTCTCTACGCAGGCATCCCACAGATATTATTTTTCTGGATCTACAAAATTAAATCTCCCTCTCTGTTTTGGATTTTTACGGGGCATATGCGCACAACAGAAAATGGCAAATGCTGAATATAAGGCAACAGGTCGTATAAATTCCGTAGACGCGTCTCTGAAGTCTCATCCTTTGTGGGTAACCCTATATATAAAGGTAAAACTTTTGAAGACATCTAAATCCTTTCTAATTACTTCTATTTAAAATGTAAGAACTTACCCTCCTGAATAACCTCCTGGAGCATGCCTGCCATGTAGACCGCCAAAGATTGTCTCTCAACAAAAATGATGCCGCGTAAACTTTTAAATCCATCAGACTTCTTCTCCTTTATATCACTTGGTAACTTTCTAATCTATGATCTATGGCCTATGACTTATGACCTATGACCTATGACCTATGACCTATGACCTATGACCTATGACCTATAACCTATGACCTATGACCTATGACCTATGACCTATGACCTATGACCTATGACCTATGACCTATGACCTATGACCTATGACCTATGATCTATGATCTATGATCTATGATCTATGACCTATGACCTATGACCTATGATCTATGACCTATGACCTATGACCTATGATCTATGAGTTGCTTTTAACATTTTCCCCTTTTAGACGTAACAGATAGAATTAAAATTAGTAACGATCTAAATTGAATTCAATTCGACGTCAACCTATTTTTCATTTTTCTCGAACACTCCCTTTACAGGGGCTGTTCACTTAATTTCAAGAGAACCTTAATCTAAAATATCGTTTTATCAGGGTTTCGAGATAATGCATTTGTCCCACTGTAAATACATTTTTTTAATTTAGCAGTTTTTAGAATAATAGTAATTATTCCTGATTTGGCTATGTAGTAAATCCGACAAGAATGTGGTATATTAATTAAGAGGGTAAGTTATAATCGAGTTTTCATTAAAAAATATTGTTAAAAATATTGAAGGGTTTTTTCCCGGCTAAACAAACGATTAATTATTAAACTTTAAAAAGTGATTCCTGAAGAATTATTTCCAAAAGTTTCAGAAACTTTGTTGATGCAAAGCTTCCAATCTTTTCAAGTTTGGACGATGTAGATTCATCTTTCTCCATTTTGTAACATATTTTCTTGAGCTCCACTGAACAAATACAATTTTTAAAGGGACTGTAGCCGAAATTTTAAGTGATTTTAATCCAAAGATGGAAATGCCCGATTCACAATAGTGTTTAAATATGATAATTCCCGTTTTTTTCTTGCAAAGAAATGCGCAAGTCACTCTTGGTGAGAACCCACAGTTGAAAAAATTTATATTTCTAAATTATGAACATTGATGTCTTTATCCTATTTGATCAGACAAAGCTTTCATGGATACCATTGTAATTTAGCCATCGCAATCTTTGCATGAAGGGTAACTTAAAACATCATTTATAAGTTACATGAAAGATTTACACTGGGGCTTTTAAAACCTTTTCAGAGAAAAAATGTTTATGATATTCTTATTAACATCTATAAATTGATCATTATCAAAAGCAGCTTCTTGTGAAAATGATTTTGACAAGAAAGTAAATTGACATGATTTGTCCCTTTTTACAATGAATTAACAAAATTATCTTCCAAAAAAGGTACCGTTGTAATCAGACATGTAAAGCTTTGATTGGAGGTCACTTAAGTTGCGTCATTTCTTATGTCGGTAGTTTTAAAACAGCTTTTGAAATAATAATCAAATATCTTTTATTATGTGTTCGCAGCTTTGGTTGTTGAAAATCGCCAATTTTGTTGAAATATTTAAACTGATATAACAGAAGGAATTAAAAAGAAAAGGTATTAATACCGATTAAATCGACGTGGGGTTAGATGATAAACGAAAAGTGGTCAAACTACAGAAATCGGCGCGTATATCAATACAATGAAGACGACTTTTCTATTAAAGTTTTGATTTTTAACAAGTTTTTCAAATTAAAGTTTACAAGTAAATAAAGCTATGGAAGTTGTTAAAAGACAGCTTCACTTTTTTCCATGTCTACACAAATGTGTGTCCATGATGTTTGAAACCTTGCACCCTGTAAGTTCCTTGCAAACTCTATTCAGCACTGGGGCATAGAAGACGACATTTAATCAAAGCTGTTACCATGTATTAAGGACAAAATTAGTAAATATTCATTAAAATTATAATTGAACACTATAAGCGAAGAAAAAGCAAATGCAAATAGAGTGTATAGTTGTACATTTTGATATTATAAAGACTCAAAAAATGTATCCATGCTGTTTGTAAGCTTGGTCGTCTTCATTGCATTGATGTTAAAGACGACGACTGTATGTGCGGAAAAATAACGCAATGCTAAATATTTTTTTTAAATCATAGGTTTATTATTGAGGGTTACCTAAGTATTGAATTGTAGTTGTATACAACTGTACTCTAGCTGAGTCCGAATAGTAGAGGTTTGTCTCCTTAACAATAAACAAGGTTACCCACAGATAGTAATGGGTGATAACTTGGCTCGTGTTTCTATCACTTTTAAGATTTTTGGACTTTGACCACAACATACTGTTTTTTAAGTTTAAAAACTCTTTTCTGTAAAGTTTTGCTATTATCAACCTATGCGAATTTGTATCCCAAGAAAATATATAGAGAAAACAACTAAACAAAACTATCATTTTTGAGTTGCTTTTGGTTAATTTCATTTATCTTCTCTTAGCTTAAACATTTTGCATAGAGCAAGGGAAGTAAAAGTTCAGATAAAACCATTTTAAAATTTTAAGTTTTAAAGTTAAAAAAAGGGCCAAGTTTTCTCCTACCACATTCACAAACCACACGGAATACGACTTAAAGACAATTGTGACTATTTAGAAATTAAAAAACTAAAATAAAAACAAGCTTGAAAAAGGTAAATTTTCCATGGAAGAACTGTAAAAACGTGTCACCCCCATAGCATTTTCTACCCACCCACCCTCACTCCCCATGTCCCATTTGCGCTTACTTCCACCCTTCAATTATCTTATTTAAAACTGCCCCCACGCCCCCGACCCCACCACAAACATTACCTTCCTGGATTCTTTTTTAACATTCTCGATGATATGTTCAAGTTTGGTCATCATGGGATAAACTCCTTAACAGAATATTCGTATTAACTTATTACTTACAGTGGGACCTTAAAACTAAGGAAAAGAAAGACGACTGTCAGAATAAAGTTATAACAGAGTTCAGTAAGGTGTCCACAAATGGTTACTAATTTTAAAGAATGGCGCGCGCGATGAGCGCGGTAACTTTCCCATTGAACGCCATAATGTGAGAAATTCCTGAAAATTTTAGGTCCACACCTATAAAATTCTAGGAGATCAACACCAAAAGTTTTAAAAAGTGCTTAAGAAAGTGAACAAAAAAATGTCATGAAATTCAAATCGATTTCTTCGTGTTCAATCAGAGAACTCGGATCCGTTGAAATGAATTAATGAATTAAAAATAAAAGAGTTAGGTTTAAAAAACCGCCCAAAATGCTTGTTTAACAGAAAAGTACATTTTTTTCAGCGGTTTTTTAGAAATAACTCATTCAATTTTTGAAATTTAAAAAATATTTCAACGGATTTAATCCATCTTTATGGACAATTAGGAAGAAAATAATGTTTAACAGGATAAATTCAAGAAAACAATATGTTGGAGCTGTGTAGGTTTTACTTGATGAGTCAATTTTAACGCTTTTGGTAAAAATATTTACTTTTTGACAACATCCAATACACTCAAGTTTCAAGTGAAGTTGTTCATCGATTTGGTTCGTTTCTAAAAAACTTGTGATAAATTTAAAAACATTTAAAAACTGTTTTCGAATTAAGTTTGTTTTAATACAACTTCGGAATATTCACAACCACCTGGAGACAAATTTAGGTACAGTGAAACCCTTAATAACGAATACATCGGAAGAATTTATCAAATGTCGTCTTGACAATTTTTCAATGAGTTTTATACTATATTACGTAAATTTCAGTATTTGCGAAAATAAATAAATAGTCATGAATATGTGGGAACAGTTTTAAAGAGTTCCATTTAATCATTTAATTAAAAAACTAAATATCTGCAACATTCCATTATCAGAAAGTGAAGGATACGACATTTGATGAATTCTTTCGATGTATTCGTTATTAGGGGTTTCACTGTATGAAAAATGTTATCATGGGATACACTCCAAAACAGAATGTCCGTATAAACTATGACTAAAAAATTGCCGGGGGGATATATATTTTTAAAAAAACAACTTTCCCCCAGAAGATAATTGTTTTTTTAGTGTTATTCCCCCTCCCAACCCACTAAATTGTGAAAAATAACTATTGATAGGGGAAAATAAGTGAATTTTTATGTTAAAAAATAGCATGGGTAAAAAAACTTGCGAATTTACCGTGTTTTAGAGGATTAAAAATATAACACCCATCAAATTGTAGAAAAGATTTTAACTAGTCCTTTAACTTGAAACAGGGCAACTAAAGAAGTTGAATTTCAAGCTACTAGCAGGTAAAACATCAGGAAAAAAAATACACATCAGAAAAAAAAAAATACACATCAGACAGCTTCAAAGTTCTCCCAAAACTTAGGTCCGGTCAACTTTTGACCTAGCAATTGAACTGATCACCAAATATATCTAATCCCTATTTCTTTATCTATTATCTATATATGATGTTTCTAACTCTGTATATTTTACCTAAACTCTCAATGATCGTCTGATTGTTCACAACCACATCGTTTTTCAGTTTCTTAAAATCCTTCACCACAAAAAAAAACATTTTTTTTGATAGAAAATAGTGAGACCCATAAAACTGTAGAATGTAAATACGACTGTTGGACTAAAATTATGATTTTGAAGACCTCTGTTTATGTAGATTTTACAAAATACAAGTAAATTCCATTGAAAATAATTAGGTTTGTCAAGCCCGAATCCATGAATTGGATCAAATATTCCGCAAAATATTGTTCTTTTTCTTACTAAAAATTGAGTAAAAGCAAAATCAAATCAAACAGTTTTCATGCTTCCTTTTTTAGGTCTTTCAAAGCAATATCTCTCTGGCGAAACGACCTGAAACAAAAAGTTATTTCAAAATAAATAATTCTACGCCGACTGCGCGAAACTCCTCTGAGCTTCTGGTCCGGGCTATTGTGAACAACTTTCATCTACATCTTGAAAAGACGACATCTTGTGTCCTATCTGTTATTTTTTTAATCTATGATATAATTGGTATCCACACAACATGAGAAAATAATTAAAATGAGAAGCTAAACAGTGCACATCACAACTTTCCATGATCTGGATGCCCTTTAATGTAGGTAAATGTCGTCTTTATTAATATTTAAACTTATTAACAACCTTGAGGTACGGCGTGTCTCACGAGGGAGGGGGTGCAGAGGCGCGATGATCCTCGCAAAAATGACCTCCGAGCCTCCAGATTTGCAGAATGACCTCTAGGCCCCGGGAAACCGTCTCCCAGCCTTAGTGACGTCAACAAGCCTCCTCCCGCCATTGTCTCCATTTAAATTATTTGGCTTTTATATCCACCAAAAACCGTTTTTTCAAAAATTCTCAACATGATAACAAAGTTCAGAATGATACATTAACAATTTGTATTAAAAAGTGCATTTTAATTGAGATTAAAGCCTTGATTTTGTTTCTAAATTTCACAAATTCCTTAAACTGTGAAGAAATATTCCAATTTTGTATAAAGATCAACAAATGTTATATCATTTTACATGGATTTCATGAACGAATCAAATTATATCAGCGGCAATTTACAAAACCCAGTAGTTTTTGAGAAATCCTTGTATTTTTGCTTTTATTGTATGCTTTAGAATAATTGAAGACCTATTCTATTGTTTTAATAGGTTAAATTTACTTAAAATATATATTGAAAATTAGAGGAATTAGTCATATAAATAAATTTTGATACACAGAGGGGGGGGGGGGGGGGGGGGGAGGGAGGGAGAGCGCAAAAACTCGTATCACAGGACAGATCCTTGTTAATTTGCATTTTTTTTTTTGATAACATGTAATGCTAAGGAATCGATAGAGTTAATATGATCTTCAAATCATGATGTCTTCAAAAATATTAGATAAGTTGTTTATAAAGGTCTTCTTTTACTCAATCCATCTTAATGTAAACTTTAACAGAAAAACAACTTCAGATCAATTGAATAAATTTATATGTCAAATTTGTTGATTAGATGATTCTTTAAACTATGACAGAGTCTACCATGAAGATATATTTTGATATTTTTTTGGTTAAGCCAATATAATTTAACAAAAGAAAAAACAAGCGGAGACCAAAATGCGGGGCGTGGAGACAGAATGGCGGAAGGCTTTGTGACGTCATGGAGGCCGGGAGACAGTTTCGCGGGGCCTGTATGTGATTCTGCAAATCTGGAGGCTCGGAGGTCATTTTTGCGGGGATCATGGCGCCTCTGCACCCCCTCCCTCGTCCCACAAACCTTGTCAGCAATATTAATTGGCATTAGCAATTAAAATTTTGAGTGGCTCTCCATAGCAAGAGAAGCCTGATTTACAATGATTCCAACATTTAAAAATAATAATTTTTTGTTAAAAACATGTCTATTTAATTCTGAATCAAAAAAAAGCTTTGTTAATCTGACTTACCACTCTTAAGGATACAATCCTTGTACGTCTCGAAATGGTCATACTGTTTTTAACTGGGAATCGACATAAAAATGTATTAAAATCCTACCTCTCCTTCTTCAATTTATCGTCCTCCTCGTTCTTTATTTCTTCTAATTTTGCTAAAACTGCTGTATATAGCTCCTGTATTTTATTCATCTCAGCTCTAGAAAGAAAATTCTTTTAACCAATGGGATTTGAGATGTGAGGCCAACCACATAAAAGTAATAATCATCCCTACGTCCACTTGGTTTGGAAGTTTCTATTTGGAAGAGTCACTTGGCAAAAAAAATTCTAATCTCTGTTTTTTTGCAACCTGTTGGTGAAAAATTTGAAATTTCAAACTTCTTTCTTAAAAATATGAATATGAGAAATTTTCCCGACCAGTGGGGTATCTAAATAACATACAAGATGTCTAAAAAAACGGGGAATAAGGATATACAGACTCGTTTGTAATCGGATTTTCAACAATTAGGTATTTCATAAAATCTACGTACGATTTCCGATTTATTGAGCCCAGTTTTAGGCTTGTAGACCTAAATATAACAATTCTCAAGGCTCCTAAAGTTTCTAACTGGAGTGAGTAAATTTGGTGAAAATAAAGATAATTCCCGATTACTCATAAGGGTCTAGATGACTTCTTTGTAATCGGATTTTCAAGATTGAGACCATTTTTGATATCAACGTACGATTTCCGATTGAATGAGCCCAATTTAAGTCTTGTAGATCTAAAAATGAAGATTGTACTGTAATAAACCTGTAACCAACATTGAATACAAAATTGTGCAACCTGAGATCATCTTTTACTTATTACTTTGCTCCAGTTGGAAACTTTAGGAGCCTAGAAAATTGTTATCTTTGGATCTAGAAGCTTTAAAATGAGCTCATTGAAACGGAAATTGTACGTAGATTTAAAAAATGGATCTACTCTTGAAAATCTGATTACAAGCTAATCTGTAGACCCTTATACAAAACTGTGCAAACGGATATTATCTTATTTGTACCAAATTTAATCTCTCCATTAGGTATTTTTAGAAGTCTATAAAATTGTTATTTTTAGATCTACATGCCTTAAATTGGTCTCATTTAATCGGAAATTGTACGTTGATTTTTAAAATGGTCTTAATCTTGATTAAAAACAAGTCTTTAGACCCTTATTCCGCGTTTTTTTTAGACACCCCATACATTCTCCAAACCTTAAGCTTTGTACTCAAGGGAAGTATACAAAGGATTCTTCAGGAGCTGTTACAAGAATATATCCTACCTTTGTACTCCAAGGGAATAGTATTCAAAGGATTCCTCTGGAGCTGTTACAAGAATATATCCTACCTTTGTACTCCAAGGGAATAGTATTCAAAGGATTCCTCTGAAGCTGTTGCGAGAATATATCCTACCTTTGTACTCCAAGGGAATAGTTTTCAAAGGATTCCTCTGTTACAAAAATATATCCTTCCTTTGTACTCCCAGGGAATAGAATTCAAGATTCCTCTGGAGCTGTTACAAGAATAAATACTATAATTGTACTCTAAAAGTATAGTATTCAAAAGATTTCTCTGGAGCAGTTACAAGTATATATCCTACCTTTGAATTCCAAGGAAATAGTATTCTAAGAATTTCTCTGGACCAGTTACAAGAATAGAACCTTCCTTTGTACCCCAAGGGAATGGTGTATAAAGAATTCCTAAGGAGTAGTTACAAGAATATATCCTACCTTTGTACTCCAAGGGAATAGTTTTCAAAGGATTCCTCTAAAACTGTTACAAGAATACACTCATCCTTCCTTTGCACTCCAAGAGAATATTATTCACAGGATTCCTCTGGAATATACACTCTACCTTTGTACCCCAAAAGGGTATATATCTGACCTTTGTACTCCAAGGAAATAGTATTCAAAGGATTGCTTTGGAGCTGTTACAGGACAATATCCTACCTTAATAATCAAAGGAAATTGCATTCAATGGATTCCTCTGAAGAAGTTACATGAATACACACCCTACCTTTGTATTCCAAGGGTATATCTTACCTTTGTACTCCAAGGAAATAATATTCAAAGGATTCCTCTGGAACTCCTACAAGAATATATCCTACCTTTGCACTCCAAGGGAATAGAATTCAAAAGATTCCTCAGGAGCTGTAACAAACTGCAGAATACTCTTCAAATCTTCTGTCGTCGCCACCTGGAACACATGTTGTCATCAAAGTACTCAATTAAGGGCTGAAAGGCCAACCACAACAATTCTTCTTAACATCCTTATTTAGTCATCCAAGCCACCTCCAAAAGGACATCCTTGCGATGTTCTTCTGGTCAAGTATCGAATTTCTAAGCTCTTTTAAACAAAAATCAAAAACCTCAATTTATAACTTAATTGAAGCTTTTTTATTCTATTAAGGAATATTCAATATTTCATTTATGCCCTAAATTACCGAGATTTTTTAAAAAGAGTCATAAACTTAAATATTTCGACGCTTGAAACAGATTTTGTTGCAAGGTGGCTTAGACTAGAAAACATGAAGATTGTGGCTCGGACGAAGATATATTTATAATGTACATTTACATATAATTAATAATAGATATACAGTGGACTAAACAAATTTATCTTTGATAATTCTTGATTTTGTTCTCAACTCGGAATGATCGGCGACATTTTATATTAGAAAATATCTAAATATATGCATTAAAACATTTATAATTGAACTTTAAACTCAATCAAATTCATTTTTATTTAATTAATAAAAATTAAATATTTCATTTGTGCCTTGAAGTAATCAGATTTATTGGAAAGGTTAATGACATTTAACCATTCGACGCATGGAAAAGATAATATTCAGATGTGGCTCGGACGAGTAAATAAGGAGAATGAGGCTCGGGCGAAGATATGATAGAAACTACCAAACTATAAAATATTGATTTAAAAAAATTTCAATTTCTACCTTGCAGTCCATCTTTTCCTCAAGACGAAATTTCTGCTTTCTGAAAATAAAAAATTCAACTTTTTTTCACGACATTTAAGGGACTGATAGCGTAATTTCATTTGACCCTCCATTCTATAAGGGACATGCACAATTTACAACGGTACCCTGGTAACATTAATCTGGTAAGTAATGTTGATTTTGACAGGGTTTAAAGTGTTCAATTCTGAAAATTCTTGAATGTTTTCCTGCGGCAGAAATGCACTGTCACTTTTGCAGAGACATCGAATTTGAAAATAATCAGTTTTCAAACATTTTAAACATTCATATACATAAAATTCATACTTGATCAGACAAAGCTTTAAGGGTACCATAGTTAATCGGACATTGCCATCTTAGCAACGGTCGTCACTTAAAATTATGCTTACAGTCCCTTTACATTTTTTAAATGTAGATATTTATTCAAATTATGAACAAGGCATACAAAATAATTTTCTAGTTGGAATTACATATAAAAGATATTTCAATTTTAATATATGTTACGACGTTACATGTTTGCAAAATTTTTACTTTTAATTTAATTTTTTTTTAAATTATCAAATGAGATTTTAAGACTTTTGATCATAAAAATTTTCTTTTTAATTTAAAAGGAATAACTCAGTAGAGTATTAGAGTTATTTAATTTTGTATTTAATCTGGAGGTGTTACAACTTTAATGCAGGGGACATTAGTTCATACACTCAGTGTTAGAAATGGGCCGAGTGTTCTAATGTCCCCTGTAATGATACCTAAAATTTCAAACTTTGTAGTTAATAATCTTATTAAAAGTGCAAAAAATTTACTGCAGGGGTTCATGTAGAGCTTTTGAGGGAAGAATAAGACTTCAATAAGTGGCAGATTTTATGGAATAAAGTGCTATTTGTGTCAGATTTTTACTTTTAAATACTAGCTATTTGTGGCAAATTTGTTGTGTCTAAATGCTAATAAGTAGCATTTTTGAGTGTAATGAGTGAACATTGAAGAATGTTCATCCAGATGATTCTTAAAGTTTAATCCCTGCTGTATTTCCCTTAAAAAAGGACAGAGTCCCGATAATTTTATACGAAACCCTGAATTTCATATCAAACCCTGAATTTCATACAAAACCCTGAGTTGAATTTCATACGAAACCCTGAATTTCATGCAAAACCCTGAGTTTCGTAAAAAAACCTGAATTTTATATCAAACCCTGAATTTCATACGGAACCCTGAATTTCATACGAAATCCTGAATTTCATACGAACCCCTGAATTTCATACCAAACCCTGAATTTCATACGAAACCCTGAATTTCATACGAAACCCTGAATTTCATAGGAAACCCTGAATTTCAAATAAAACCCTGAGTTTCAAACGAAACCCTGAGTTTTATACGAAACCCTGAATTTCGTATGAACCCTGAATTTCATACAAAACCCTGAATTTAATACGAAACCCTGAATTTTCTATGAAACCCTGAATTTCTTACGAAACCCTGAATTTCATATGAAACCCTGAATTTCATATGAAACCCTGAATTTCATATGAAACCCTGAATCTAATACGAAACCCTGAATTTCATACGAAACCCTGAATTTCTTATGAAACCCTGAATTTAATACGAAACCCTGAATTTCATACGAAACCCTGAATTTCGTACAAAACCCTGAATTTCATACAAAACCCTGAATTTCATACGAAACCCTATATTTTGTACGAAACCCTGAATTTCAAACTCTTTACCTGAATTGTTCCACATTACACGTCTCCACGACAACGCATGCTGTTAATCCCAACACCTAGTTTACTGAAGTTAGACAGAAGGCAGAGTTTAGAACTTTTGAATGGACGAAATGGTTTAAAGAAACTGTAAGTGTAGTTTCAAGTAACCCTCCATGCGAAGATAGCAATGCCCGATTTACAACGATACCTTTCAAAGCTTTGTCTAATAAAGAATGAATTAAAAATTCATGCATTCGTTGCACTCACAGAAATAATCACTTTTTAAGTAAAACAAAAAGTGGTTTCTTCCAATTTTTTTATCATATTGAGGTAAATTTTAAGGGTACCGTTGCTAATCGGGCATTGCCACCTTTGCATGGAGGATTACTTGAAATTATGCTTTACAATCCCTTAAAACTCTTTTCCTGCTAGGGAGGGGGTGCAGAGGCGCGATGATCCCCGCAAAAATGATCTCCGAACCTCAGGATTTGCAGAATTACCTCCAGGCCCCGCAAAACTGGTCTCCCAGCCTCAGTGACGTCACCAAGCCTTCCGCCATTCTGTCTCCACGCCCCGCATTTTGGTCTCCGCTTGTTGTTTTTATTTTTTGTTTAAATTTATTGGCTTAACAAAAATGAGGCTGGGAGACCAGTTTTGCGGGGCCGGGAGGTAATTCTGCAAATCCTGAGGTTCGGAGATCATTTTTGCGGGGATCATGGCGCCTCTGCACCCCCTCCCTCTTCCTGCTCGCAGCACATGTTAAACCTTTCTCATATTATGTATTAATTTAAAACAAATAAAAGATTAATTGGGTTTTCCGCGAAGAAAAAGTTTTGATATCTCAGCCAAGATGATTGGTCCTTCATTGTTATACAACAAATTAGTTTTCTTTTAAACTCAACCGTGTCAAATATATTCCCACTACTAAGATATTTTTTTTATCGCAAAAAAAAGATCTATGGATAATATTTGATCCTTGTCTATCATTTTTTCATTATCCCTATTATGATCACTTTTTAGATAACGTTTTAGATAACTTTTTAGATCCCTTTCTAGATCCCTTTAAGACCACTTTTTAGATCCCTTCTCAGATTCCCCTTTAGATCCCTTTAAGGACCACTTTTTAGATCCCTTTTTGATCCTATTTTATAAAATCCAAGATTTCTTTCATTTCTTTGCTTACAAAAAAATTCAGAACTTACACTTTTCTTTTCTCTCACGGAAAGTACGTTAGCTTCGTTTAGCGAGAGAAACAAACTTATGGTGGATTTAATTATTTATAAAGTTAGCAGGCCGCATAATATTTTTTTAGAGCCACCCGAAAACCTTAAAATTTTGAACCACAAAACTTAATGGTTCATCGAGTTTTAGCATAAAAGTAAGCAAAAAAAAATGAGAAAAATAATTTTAAAACGTTATTTTTTTTTGTTTTAAAAATATCATTAGAACTTAAAGACATGTGCATGACCTGGATCCGGTTTTTTTCAGTACAAATCCAAAATCCAAATCCACTAGTTATAGCGAACATAAGAAATAAGAAATAGTACTTGATTAAATTATTGAAGGCTACCTTTGGGACCGGACTTCCTTCAGACTTTTTCTCGTTATACATGTTCATGATGACACTGTAGGGATGGTTTTTCACTGCATGGTGACACTCGTCAAGCACTAGCAGGGCCAGGTCTCGGAACTGTAGGAATTTGCAACTAGAATTAAAAAACAATTATTTAGTAATTTAAAGAGTTTTTGTTAAAAAAACCTGAGAGAAAAAGGATTTGTATAAAATGAATTGTCCGCGCCGATCAGGCCCAATTTTTTTATGGTTATAAAGCCAGTGGTCACAAATAAAACGTAAACTTAAAACAAAATTTTTGAATTTTCGAAATTTTTGGAAATCAATGAAAATATTTTTTTCTTTATCTTATTTCAAAATAAAGGCTTGCAGAAAGATGCTTATGGATAAAAGAATGGAAAACTTTAAGTGCTAGATTATTAATTATGTATATTCCTATGGATTATGACATTTATGTATAATGTATTGTATCCTATGGATTATGACATTTATGTATAATGTATTGTATTCTATGGATTATGGAAGAAGATAATTATATATATATATATAGAATTTATTCAATTGATTAAAAAAATGAGATCACCTAAGAACTGATCTGAAAACCTCGTGGACAAACACCAGCACCTGATACCTTAACAATATAAATAAACAAAAGAGCTCAATAACGCCTCTATATTTATAGGGATGTATATTTTAGAAGACGTAAGAGGGTGGGGGGGGGGTGAAAAGCTGGACATCAAAATCCCCTTTTTAAAACCTTTTATCTAACAGTTTATTTATTTTCCCAAAAAAAATCATTCATTTTTCGACGATTTACAACTGACATATTTTTTCAAACATACTTTGCTTCCGCAGAGAAATAAATGATTTTCGAAATCATTCAGACATTAAAAACAAAAGTCATCAATTATTTTGCGACGCCTTCGTATCTAGTTAATATTTCATAATATTTCTGATTTTTAAAAATAATATTTCACTTGCGCTGGATTTTCGAACATTCTTGGAAACTAGGAAAATGTCTCATCATGATCGAAAATCCTCGAACCAGGAATAAATGTTTATAAAAAGAACTATCATACCATAAAAAATTATGAAATATCAACTATTAACGAATGCGTCAAAAAATGATCGATGATTATTGGTGGTAATATCTATATGATTTCTTTGGAATTAAATTGATTTTTTTACGATCCGAGTTGAATGTTGCAATTTTCTCAATTTGTATCAGCATGAGTCGTTTTTTAACAATTTTCTCCTTATAGACGCAACAGCTAAAAGTAAGATTAGTAGCTCGATCAAAAGCGGTTATTATTCGCCGTAAGCCTATATTCCTTTTCATTTTCCGAGAACACTCACTTAAAATCGTGAAAATTGGGGGGACATTTTTCAGAAAAATAAATACCCCTGTAACGTGTAAATATCATTTTATTAATTTACTTTGAGAATTCGTCCATCCATTTAGATTCCTCCCAGTCATCAACTCCATCAGATCCACAGTAGGTACCAACCTAAAAAAATGTAAAAAAACTGTGAGCGTAGTGTCAAGTGACCCAATATGCAAAGATGCCCGATTAACAACGGTACAAGCAAGAAATGCGTAAGTCACTTTTGCAAAGAAACTACAAACAAAAACATTGATAACTATTTCATACTTGATCAGACAAAGCTTTCAGATCGGGCATTTCCATCTTTGCATGGAAGATCACAAATTCACAAAATTTCATATTATTGCGATAACTAGCAACCTTTAGATCACTGTGTTACACAATTTATACAGTTGCTTAGGATCCGGATCCAAGGGGTAAAATATCATTACAGGGTGGCCAAAACTTTTTTGAACCCATCCGTACAAAAATCCGTACATTTTCAGAAGAAATCCGTACAATCCGTACAATTTTCGAAAAACAATCCGTACAATCCGTACAATAATATTCTCAAATAAACACTTCTTGGACATATCTCGAAAATTATGAATGAATTTTGATTGTCAACTGAAACCTTAATCAATCTAATATTATTTAGAATGCAGAAAATAAGTTAAACTAACTTCATTTTGACGATAATTTTTTTTTTATTTTCATGAAAAATTTGCTGAAATGAGTGAAAATTTAAAAAAAAACGGTGTATTTTCCAGGATAAAATCCGTACAATCCGTACAATTTGAAAACAAATCCGTACAATCCGTGCAATCCGTACAATCCGTACAATTTTAGGGTACAAAAAAAATCAATCCGTACAATCCGTACATTTTGGCCACCCTGTATCAACCAAAAATTGCAAAAAAAAACTTTTTTACTCCTTAAACCTAACTCTGAACTTTTGAAAAAAAAAGAGATTATAAAAATTTCCTCATTTCTGAATGGTTCATTAAGTTTTCGGATACAAATAAGCGCAAAAAAATAAAACAAAAAAATGAAAATTATTTTTTGTTAAAAGAATTCAATAAATCTTAAAGAAATAAACTGGATCCGGATCCATTTTTTTCCAGTGCGGATCCGGATCCGCATCAAAACTAAATGGATCCTATGCACTGGTACTAGGAATTCAGCGCGCCCATATTCTATTTAAATTGTGAACATTTTCTCTTTGATGTTATAAACAATAACAAACAAAAAATTTCGCGGATTTTAAAAGAAAAATTTGTGGATTTTGATGAAAATCAAAAATTGAATCTAATTTTTGAAATTTTAATCACCCATAAACTTTTCCTGGGGTCATGTGACGTTCCACACATAATTTGGTCCCGATTTGGACACAAACAGACAGACAGACAAGTAAAAGTAAATCTTAATGTATATATATATATTTATATATATATATAGAGAGAGATAGATAAATAAATTCACCTGCAACCCTGTCGTATTCCTGATTTCCCTGGCCTGCTGCTCTACCAGAGCAACTACAAAAAAAGCAAAACAAGACATAAGACAAATTTAGGCTGGCTCTTCGAAATTGGTCACTAAATTGGTATTACATCTATTCTCTGTCCCTACTTCTTGTCACCGTTAACTACAACAGTGTAGTCCAGTGTGAAGCGGCTACAAAAGCAGTCCACCAGCTTTATTATGTCCTCATAACGTCTGGCTGGCAATTTTTTTTTAATCGAATTAAACAAAGAATTTTTTCAAAGACTTAAATTAAAGGAAATGAATGTACGATTTATAACGGTACCCTAAATTAACCTCCTTCTGAGTATTTTGTAATATTTGTAATTATATCTTGGACATATATTTCAAGTAAAATATAATTCTTACAGGGGTTGGGGGGGGGGGAAATTTGCAGGGGTGTAAAAAATTATTTCCCCCCTGGGGGGGGGGGGAGAAGAAGCAAAGACCCATAGGAGAGAAGGGAAGAAAAAGGGAAGGAAAAGGGAAGGGGGAATTGATGGATAATGAATTCCAAGAAACAATATACTCCCTGACTGACAAATAGTCAATTCCAACTTTTTTTACTTTGCCACCATACTAAAAGTTCAGAAAAATTTCCATTTATGGTTTTTAAGATTATTATGCACTGCAATATAAATATAAAAAAACTTTTTGAATTTGGGGAAGAATCAAAAAAAATTTGAGGGGGAGGGGGAATGAATAAAAAATGGATATATTATATACACCCCTGGATATCTGTTTCCCAGATATCTGGCTTTATTATCCAAATAACAAATGATTTTTAGTGGAAATAACTATAATTTTGAGTAATAAGTTTCGACAAAAGTGAAAAAGCTTGCCTTTTAATGTTCCCAAACTGCCAAATACATTTATATTGTATACCCCCTGTCCGAGGGGGAAATGATCTCCGAGGGGGGGGGGATTATTTTGAAGAAAAAATATACCCTTGAAATGCTACCTGAGCTGACAAGAAATATTGCCTTCTTTCCTCCTTGGATCCTTCCCTTCTCCAGTTTACCCAGCTCACCTCGCAGATGCTTAACAAACACATTGTACGGTGTACATACAGTGATTAAAGGACCTGTACATACTGTGGTTAAAGGACCTGTACATACAGTGGTTTAAGGACCTGTACATACAGTGGTTTAAGGACCTGTACATACAGTGGTTAAAGGACCTGTACATACAGTGGTTAAAGGACCTGTACATACAGTGGTTAAAGGACCTGTATATATTGTGGTTCAAGGACCTGTACATACAGTGGTTTAAGGACCTGTACATACAGTGGTTTAAGGACCTGTACATACAGTGGTTAAAGGACATGTACATACAGTGGTTAAAGGACCTGTACATACAGTGGTTAAAGGACCTGTACATACAGTGGTTAAAAGACCTGTACATACAGTGGTTAAAGGACCTGTACATAAATGGTTGAAGGACCTGTTACATATAGTGGTTAAAAGACCTGTACAATGTACATTCAGTGGTTAAAGAACCTGTACATACAGTGGTTAAAGGACCTATACATTCATTGGTTTAAGGATTTGTACATGACCTGTACAATATATAAAGTGGAATGTCTGCTTCACAAGGATACCCAAAAAGCTTTATCAAATCATTGCATACAAAGGATTCACTTTCTGTAAAAATTTTAACTTTTGTTGTTTTTTCTTACGAGAATTTCTTTTTACTATATTTCATAATTTTTAAAAAAAATCAAAGAAAAAAACGATAATAATTTTTAAATAAACAACATAGCTATTTTTCTCTTGATAAAATTGATTAAATTTCAGACGTACAGAAACTTTCAGGAAATTACTAACCACCAAGCTAAACAAATGTAGATATCCTCCACTAGATAAAGATTGAAGGGTATAGTTGTGAATCAGACAGGTTCCTCTTTAATTGATGGGCTAGTTGATATATAAAATATGGAAGGGAGGGCTGATAAACAAATCTTAAGTGGAGATTATTTAAATATTCAAATTAAAAACAAAGCCCTGAAAGGGGAAAATGAAAAAGGACACACTGTCGCCTACCTGGATCACTGTCAACAGACTGACGCCTACCTGAATCACTGTCAACACACTGTCGCCTACCTGAATCACTGTCAACACACTGTCGCCTACCTGAATCACTGTCAACACACTGTCGCCTACCTGGATCACTGTCAACACACTGTCGCCTACCTGGATCACTGTCAACACACTGTCAACACACTGTCGCCTGCCTGAATCACTGTCAACACACTGTCGCCTACCTGGATCACTGTCAACACACTGTCGCCTACCTGGATCACTGTCAACACACTGTCGCCTACCTGGATCAGCATGACCGCAATGAATGTTTTCCCTGAACCGGTTCCAAGATACACAATAATATTCTTTTTCTTCGCCAACTCAAGAAGTTCCAGCTAAACGAAATTGTATCCATCAATTAAAAAATAGTAATCAACCAATCAATCAATCAAAAAAGTAATCAATCAATCAAAAAATAGTAATCAATCAATCAAAAAATAGTAATCAATCAATCAATCAATTGTACATCATAAATCACAAATCATAACTCAAATCAAAAATCAAACATTGTAAATCGTAAATCATCATAAATCTGAAGTCTTATCAATTTATAGATTAATAATACAATCAATATTTCTTTTTATCAGACCACATTCTTAAAATCCCTCGACTTGGATTATTGTTCTTTTTCTTCATGTATTGGATTATTGTAAGTTGAATTATTTTGTTGGTAATTTCCTATAAAACGATTTTTGGACAACACCCAGCTTGTTGGGTTTTAGCATAATATCTTTAAATTTCCGTGAGACCCAGGACACACTGGATGAGACCCAGAACGCGCTGGAGACCCAAGACACACTGGATGAGACCCAGGACTCACTGGAGACCCAGGACACACTGGAGGAGACCCAGGACGCGCTGGACCCCCTTAAAAAACACAGGACACAACGATTTTTGGACCCACCCCCCTCCTATCAATTTTGTACATGATTTCAGCAAAATTATTATTTACTTTTTATTATTTTAGGTTAAGGTTAGTTTAAGACAATTTCTGGGTCGAGCGCTGCGGCTAGGACAGGCTAGGGGGTCGGGCGCTGCAGCCAAATGACCTATTGTAACCATTTATGTGTTATATATGAGATACATGTACAAAATATGGAAACCCTGTACCTGATATGGTCTGGCTTCCAACATCTTCATCTTCTCCTCACTGGGCCGATTAAGGGCCAGTGGAAGGGCCTTGGACCCCATTGTTTGTTGTTTACTCAAACTATCTGAAAATTCTTGACAAATAACGAAACACATTTAATTTGATTCAGGTAGTAATAAAAGCTTTAAAAATTGAATTAGATGAAAACGTACTTTAGGAAATTTAAGGCCGGGATATGAAGTTTTAGAGTCATAAAAGTGGAATATGAAAACTTTAGAAATAATAATTTATAAATATGAGGACTTGCTTCTCAGATGCAGGTTGCAGTATTACTAGATTTCTCTAGGTTTCTCGTTTTTCTCCCGTATTTTATATTATTATTTCGAGGATTACTAGTTTTGATTTACAGAGAAAACCCATCCTCTTCAAACCGACATTTGAGCAATTTAATGCATATTTAATGTGTTTTAACAAATAATTTCGCCAGTAGCTCTTACAACTTATTGAAATGGGTCAATACAAGCTGTACAGTGCATGCAATTTTCGTGCTTCTTGTAGAGTACTCAAACTCCATCTTTCTTAATTATTATTGAAATTATAAAGTTTGAAAGAATTAATATTTTTTATTTTAAATTATGCTTTATGCAAGAATGTATGAAAATAATTTGCATATAGAAAATTCGAAGTTAAAAAATACTTTTAAAAAATCTAGAAAGCACAATAAAAGAAATATTGTAACGCTAAAAACCATGCATATTCCGGTGGACTTAGTGTATACTGCCTTTGCTACTGTGTTGTACAGATTGAGCTAGAATTCGCCCTTTTATTACTCTATGTAGTTTGTCTTCCCCCCCCA